AAGGTGACAAGTGCCGAGTCAAAAGCCGCAGACATTTGTATAAATTATTACAGTCGCCCCACGGCGGCGTTCAAAGCGTTTGTCGATATGCATTTATGATTGCATGTGACATTTGCATGACGGTGCCACGCCTCCTTTCGCCTTTCACCTGCAGTCCCACCCCCCGCCCCAGTAATCCCCTCCTTCCACTTGTTGAACAGCTGACTTTGGCTTATTCGGATTCAGTTTCCTTGGATTCGGTCTCTTGAGTCGGAATGGGAATTAAAGTCGGACTTTGAGCGGAGGATGGTTTTCTCCCGTGGCTTTTTGGTATTTGCACGACACAATCATTAAATAGCCATGGCCAAGTGCTGACAGGCACAAGTACGGAAAAAACAAAAACAACAAATTACAAGCTCACATTGTCAGAGTTGCACTTTAGGCGACATAAATTTTATGTACGTCGCCATGACAGAGCAAACAAAAAATACGGCAAAAAGAAGATCGCTTTTGAAGGAACGAAGCTCTAAATACCCTTTTAAAAATAATAATCTCTACTCTAAATAATTCTTTAATCATAATCTTATATATAGCATGTAATGTTATGACCACTTAGAAAGAAAGAATTAAATGTCCCTAAAAATATTTTTCCCCATAATAAAGGATTGATATTATTGGATGTTTTTAAGTACACTTTTTCGTTATTGACTTTTTGGTTTAATGCTTGTATTTACCACAAGTCTATACTTTTAAACTTTATTCTCATCTCTGATTTTGAATCTCATATATATGTAATGTTTAAGAAATATAAACTCATACATATAATATTTGATTCCTATCAATTAGAAACTCCTTATCATAGTTCCATACAACTTAGTTAGGGTATGAAAAAGAAGACCGAACTCAGTCCAAAAGCAGCAACAAAAATAGTGGCCGCCAGGAGGTGTCAATGTACAATTGCAGCAACAACAACAATGGCTATGACAACAAGGAGCTGGCACAACAAAGAACCCATTGTTGTTGTTGTGCTTTTTGTTGCTGCTGTTGCAGCTTTTGTTGCTGTTGCTGGTGTTGCCGTTGATGTTGCTGTTGCACATGCCAAATGCGGACAGAGACACGACGCCAAGGAGCCCGTCGTCCGGACACAAAGCTCCTCGTGGAGCTGAACACTGAGAAAAATATAAAATATAAACTTAAGAAAAATTTATGATTCTGATATTAAAAGAAGAAAATGTAGAATTTTTCTATGAATTTCAATTAATTGAATAATTAGTTTTATTTGATATTAAGAAAGATATTTTATAAAAGGTCTCTTGAGATTTTTGTAAAAGTTTCGTGGAAGGCTCCCACTTTATAAACTCTTGAATCTCATATTAAATATTCCATATATTAAATGACAATACTAGTAAATTTGAGATTCGCTAAAAAAGGAATTTTTAATGTCCAAATATACTTGGAAATCATACATCGAATATTGCAAACTTTAGTTTCAGTGCACTGCACTTTCAGGTCCTCCTTCTCTTAAAACGGCTACAAACCATTTCTCACTGTTCTATTGACACACGCACCGATCGTCTTGGAATGTTGCCGCCGTTGTCGCCATCACAGCGGCTTGTGTAATTACGCGAGTCGCATTAGCACAACAAATCGACCCCACAGAGCTGCATTTAATTAGTGGCTCAGCAACTTCGAAGACGACGGCAAACATGTCAGGCGAAATTGTTGGCATAATTCATAATTGAACTGCATTCGTGGCTGCCACACGCTCCCATACTCTGCCGCATCCTTGGTATCTTTGCCAATTTGGAGGGCCAACTCTGCTGGCTTTGATGGCTACATAAATTTTGTGATAGGTTGTGGCGCCCAACGTGGGGCCGTGGCTAGTGTTTGTCGTGCCTGGTATGCAATGTACCGCAACCCCTCTTTCCGTGACTTGTAGCTCTTTAAACTGCCGATTTTATACCCTTTCAGAAGGGGCAAGTTGAATTTATTAGCGGAAGAAGCGCATTAGATAATCTTGTTGGGTTTCATTATTGCTTTTTTAATGAATTTAAGCAATATACTTATCTTACGCAACATTTTTAAGATGGTCAGTACTCAAGCACTTTCCAATGGGGACCAAATTTAATCATTGTTGCAGATTTTTATTTTTGGAAGATTTATTATTTTAAAGATTTTTAAAATTTTAAAAAAATGTATGGTTAATCTTCGTGCTCACATATAATTTCCCGCAATTTTACGGTCTAAAAGGGTATTACAAACTTCTAAGTTTGTGACCAGATTTTTGCTACTTTGAGCTCGATGCCATTGTTAAGAGTCTTTTAAATATTGTAGCCTCCTGTTCACTGGGCGCACCTACAACATTTGAGGTTGTATAAGCGGCAGTCCCGTTACTTCTCGCTCTTAGCAGTTGTTAACCGAGTATTCCATTACCACAATTCACATGTCGGCCCAAAGCCCACCCAGGTTATTGTTTCCCCGACTGTATCTGTATCTGTATCTGTGACTGTGTTTTCGCCGGGTTCAAAGACTGTTGACATTCGTGGGTTATTGTTATTGCGATTGTTGCGGCAACCACATCCGTTTTAGTTGCATGTTGCAGGCCATTGATTGACGTAAGCGCTTTAAAGACTTGGCCAAACGGGGTCCATAAAGAACCGACTGTGCCGGCGACTCTGGAGTGCAATTTGCCAAGGGATTGGGTTCTGCACCGAAAAATATGAACAAGCCAAATGGGAAACTGAGGACGTAGAACAAGCCCGAGCGGCAGACATGAGACACCAACACTTCATATGACAATCAAACTTTGTCTGCAGGATGCCAAGGGGGGAAAAAAAACTATTCCAAACGATTTAACAATGAATTCTGCAACAAAATCTCCATGAAAATAGATATAAACGGAGACAGACGCTGGGAGGAAGAGATAATGGTGGGAAGTAGCATATAACCATAATATCAATTTCAATAAACTAACAAGCAGATGTGAGCGGAAGCGGACTAGCACAGTCCGGAGTACATAGGAACTTATGGGGCGCACAGAGGATGTGGATATGAAGATTGTCATATGGCAACAGACACACGGACAGGTGCCATAAAGGAAAATTTCAATTCCCAGCGAACGAAAGAATAACAGACTGGAGCTAAGCATGTTCAAAAGATAGGGGATATAAAAACAGCTTGCCAATAAGAGCTGCCAAAAAGTCTAACCAAAAGGTGTCCAAATGTTTACCAGATGATTGCCAAATAGATAACAATCACTCTGAACACATCTTAAAGAAATAGAAAAAGGGTTTAAAAATCGAAAACAAATATATACTCAATACGTTTTCAAGTGGCTTAAAATTACTAAAAATGTCTGTGGTACATGTAATTTAAAATAGAAATAAAAGAATAAACTGAACTTTTCGTAAAAAAAACTCACAAAGAGTTAAACTTAGACTTCTGCATGTATTCCTACAAAAAAAGTAGAGTGGTATAAACTTCTCCAGCGCTTTCTTTTTGCTGTAATGTTCCATGCAGTTCCAGTTTTCGTGAATAGATAAAAAGACCTTTGCTTACCACCAACAAACAGCAATAAAATGCTAACTTTTTGTGAAATTTATTGAGCAAAACTTTAACTTGATTTCAGACAAAGCAAAAACACAGAGCCAAGCCACTATATCTTGCTTCATCTCAACGAAGTAAGTAAGTTCTCGGTTGAAAGACGCACAAGAGTGTGCTATGCAAAATGTTGTCACTCCGCAGCTTGCAGATATTTGTAGCTTATTATCCTTGTAGCTACAACATGTGGATGCGATTGCTGTATGACAAGTCAAATTAACATGTGAGACACAGTCCTCAGTCACTTTTCCATCCAAAAGGGAATCCGAGTTGCAGTTCTTGTTGTCATTTGACACTTTGCAAAACTTTGCTCGGGGTGCCAGCAAATGTCAGCACATTTGTGACTCCTCATCCTGGGCCAAATTAATGCCCGGCCAGCATGGCGTATACTTGTTAAATGCAGAGCAGCATCACAGAGCATCTAAGAACATCTCAACAACTGTCGACACTTGCGCCTGTAGCTGCAGCTTTTCTTACACCACACCCAATGATTTTGCACCCTTTTTTGCCTCCCCTTCAATGTTGCAAGTTCTTTTGTTGCAGAACACCCATTGTTCATTGTTTGAAAGTGGGTAAAGTGGTGCAGCACAGGCTGGAGAATAATAAAAACTGATGCAGGACGAGACCTTCGGGGCAAAGTTAAGGCCTCCTTTGGTCTATTCACATTTCTTTGCTTCGACTCAACCTTAACCCACATTCGGTTTCAATTATCAGGCACTCCACCGGAAACCATAAAAACCACTGCCGAAAAGGCTTTAAAAATTAATATGCTGAAAATCTTGAAACAATTTGCGAACTAATAGCAAAAGGCTTAAAATCGCATTAAAAGTTTCCCCCAAGAACTATCGGCACAGGCCACAGGCACCCAAACACGCATATATAGTTTTATATGTTGAGAGATTCAATAAGCAGCCAGTTGTGGGCAGAAAGTTTGCAGTCAGAAAGGCTTAAAGCCTTTTGAAAGTGGCAGCGGCTTACAGCAAAAACTTCGAGTTGAAGGCGAAAAATGTTGCACTGGAAAAATAAGTCAAGAAATCATCAACGATGCCATTAGCATGGGGTCCAGAAGTGACCGAAGTGCTTGCCCTCAAGAGTGGCAAAAAGTTTCGTCGGTTTTTTCGAAGGGGTTGCTTAAACTTTTAACAAGCTCTTTACATTTTTCTTTCTTCACGCTGAAAAAAATATGAATAGGTAAATAAACTGATTGGTCATATCTAAATACGGCATCTACAAAATTTAGTTTGATGTAAAGAATGGTAACTGTATGTATGGTAAAATTAATCGAGCTATATATCAATAACTATCTTAAGGGGAAGAACTTTTCGTGTTATTCATAAATATGTCTTATTCTACCCGGAAAATTTAAATAATGTATTTTTTGAGCTTTTTTAATTATTATTATATATATCTTTTATTTTTAGAAATGCATTGAATATTCAAAAAACACACCATTTATAGAGGATTACTCCATTATTGATGACCATGCAGGATATACGCCTACGCCTGGAACCGCAGCACAACACAGCCACGTTTATATCCGCCTCGTCGTCCTCCTCGCAAACAGCTGAGACCACGCTGATTGAGACAGCTGAGAAGTCGCCATCCAGGTGAGTAGAAAAGAAACTCCCTTAATCTTCATCTCAAAGTTTCCGCCCCCTTAATCCTTGGACTCATTTGTTAACCGCAGTGAAGCAGCTGCTGGAACAGTGACAACGACATCGCCGCAGCATTATTTCCATCATCATCATCCGCCATCCGCGCATCCGCATCCGCAGCCTCAGCCCCGCCAGCAGCAACATCCGCATAGCCACTTGCATCCGCATCCGCACCTCCAGAGACGTCCGGTGGAGCAGCTGCAGCTGCTGCATAGCCACCACGATGTCCAGGAGCTGGCCGGGCAGGAGCATCCACATCCGCATCCGCACTCCAGCTCCCATCCGCATCCGCACCATCTGCGCTCGCCCAGCTCCGAGGAGGATAATTCGCCCACTGAAATGAATAATTGCCGTCGTTTGGTTGATAAACCGCCGCTGGTAAGTCCTGCCAGGGTTCACTGTAAGAAAATAACCACCCTTTTATACTGAAATTATTAAAAAAAAGGTAATAGGCTTTCGAAGAAAGAAATTATGCGGGTGAAAATAATATTCATTCTCAATAATCTTTAATTTTAAAATATTTTGTATTTATTTTTTGCTTAAACTTTGATATTGCACTTTCCTAAGTTATTCTTGCCGATTTATTCGGGAACTTAAATAATAGTGAATATAGAAAGATTCGCTTTTCAAATTGCACTAAATCCTAAAAACGTAAATGTAAAATAAAAAGCTCCAAGCCTTTTAAAATAAATAAATAATAAGTTTTCTTTTAACACAAATTCCGAAATATCTTTATAATATATTACATTTTAGGATACTTTAAACTAAGTTGTAGTGTATATACTTCTCTTTCCCTACCTCCCCTAAAAAAAATTCAGCTTGTTAATATTAACTATTAGCCAAGGTATTGAAAAGGTAGATGAACGTAGCGAAGGCAGTCGAGGGAGCAATCATTTTCTGCATTGTTGCCAGGTTCCTTTGAAGCCTATTTCTCATTGCTTGCAAATTACTTTGTAGAGAACATAAATCTGCTTGCGCTGATGATTTGCGAGGAAACAAGAGGGGGAAAAACGAAATACCTATTGGAGCATTGGCTTGGGATGCACTTAATGCCAAAGAAATGACCAGTAGCGACAGAAAAGAAAAAACTACAATTCGAGACAGCATCAACAAAATTCGAAAAATGAGAAAATTGCAAAAAAATGAGTGGAAATCCTTTTGACTGGGGATTAAGTGTAATTCAGTAATGCACTTAATGTTATCTAACTTGAGATGCCTTTTGTCTATTTGTGTTTTAAATTTCTGTTTAGTTCACTTTAAATCACTTGGTTGAAATTGCCTGCTTGAATCGTATTTAAAAGCAATTGGGACTAGAGTATGTACTCCACTTGGAAAGTGTTTTCGCCACTAAACCTGCAGCCGAAAAAGAGTTCATTAAATTAATTTGCACAAATGCAAATTTGCGACTAACGGCACTTTGGCACGCGCCACTAACAAAGGTGCACTAACTGCACACAACTAAAATGGAACTAAAATCGGAGCACACTGAAAGAAATTTTAAATGTGCCTCGAAAATAAATAATTATAAATAACATATAATAATTTCAAAATAACAATGTTTTACATTATACGTTTATTAAAAGTGGCCTTTAAAATCTTGATTGCTCCCAAAAAAGTCTTTTTCCAGAAAAGTTATAAAAAAATAAAGAGAAGACTAACCACCATAATTAATAACCATACTTATTTCACTTCCCTTCCCAAGTTTATAAAATCTTTGCTAATTAACCATTAAATACATAACAATAGCAAACTCCAAACTTTAACGTTTTAATGAACAAGAAAATGAATTGCAGTCTATAATCCTAAAGTGCAAGTAGTTAGCTCCACAAACTAAATACTTTCGTCTGTTGGCAGCAACTCAGACCAAGTCCACATTATCATTTATAACTTCCAGCTTAAACTGTTTTATGGCATCCCGTTAAATGCTGCCCATTTTCCTGTAGTGCAGTTTGAAGTTAGAAAATAGGAGTCCTTCGGAACAATGCAGGATGCCTGGGAAATGGCAGGCAAATGCCGTTAACTTACTGACTTTATGACACATAAATCGCAGCAACAGCGCCAAATGCATCCGACAGCCAGTTGCCGTTGTCACGTGTTTTTAGGCCTAGGGAATGGAATCCTTGCCAAAGGACAATGGCGGAAACTTTTCTCTGGCGCCGCCTGAAAGTAGGCAACGTGAAAAGTTTTCCACAGATAACAAGGCAAGGAGAATGCGAGAAAATCAAATGGCAGCGGGAGAACTGCTGCTTAGACACGTCTATTGTGCCATTGTCTGTGGGAAATACCTTAGAAAATCCACCCAGCCACCTTCCTCTGCCTTGCTGCATTCTTTATCGTCTGGATTTGTCTGGCAGTCGGGAGTCCTAGTCCTCCGGGCTGTATTGCATTATGCGTGGGTCCCTTCCGATGCCATTAGCATAATGGGGGCATTAGGTTGGCACGGTGCTCTGATTGCATACTTAACAACAGCCAAGTGCCGCCAATGCGCCAATTTAATTAGCTTTGGCTGCAATTGAAAAGGCGCCTCTTCCATCGACTCCTCAATGCGAAGAACTTTAAGTAAATCGCCTTTCATCTCCATTAAATCAACATAATTATCGCAAATTACGAGGAAATAACCAAGTCCAATTTACGTTTAGGCTGCTAATTACGCAACGCAATGGGAAACAATTTAAACGGCGAGAAGGAAAACCCGAAAGGCAGTATCAGCCAACGCCAGAAACTTTCCATTCAGGCTCCAACTCATTTCAAAGTAATTTGCCGCAGGAGCCAGCGGCTGATGGGTGGGCGTAGTGCGGCCAAAGGGGGCGTGGCAAGCCCTGTTTAACATTTTATTGGTAACCAAAAATTTTACACATCAATCTCGGTTGTTTTCCGGGTGGGGGAAAAGTGCTAAAATTCGAAGTGGGAGGTACGTCGTTGTGGTTCCGGCTGTGAGAGCTAAAGTGTGTTTGATGTTTGTTGTACTTTACGCCGGGGGTGGGGATCATCTGCAGGGGGTGGGATCAGGATTGGGGATGAGGTGGCGGTGCCACAAATCCCTGAACAACTGCACCTGCCCCGATACTGGTCAGACAACAGAAGTCCCGAATATGCCATTATAGCAATGCAAAAACTTTGCCAAATTGGCAGACAACATGCAACATGCAAATTGTACGACTAGCAGTTGTCACACTGAAATAAAAGGCTTCGTAAAATATAAAACTATTATTAAAAACTACTTTGAAAAACCATATTTTAGAACATTTAAGTTCCTATGAAATATTATCGTTATATTAAGAATTCGTTGACTACTTACATTCATTAATTTAATGTAAAGCAAAACTAATTGCTCTTCTGCAATTTTTTCATCTTGAGCTACAGTAAACTTTTCTTTTAATATAAATAAGCAAATATATTAATAAAGTAGCTATATTTCTTGAAGACTTTTTTGCTTTTTTATACTACCCTGATTAGTATAATATATATGATTTAAATAAATAAATATGATTTATTTCTAAGCTTACGAAATAGTTTATGAGAGATGATTGCCCTGCGATTATAGATGAAAATTATATCACAACAAAAACATTTTTTAGAAAACTGAAAATATTTTATTCTTTTAAATAGTTTTATTTAAAGTAAAATAAACTTGACATTAAAATATTATAGAAATTTTATAGAAGATTTGGTATTCCTCTTAGAATATATTTTCCATTAACCCGTCTCACGATTAAATGTTTCTCTCTGTGCATTGCAATCCGTCCACAGGTGAAGCGCCTGACCATGGGTATCGGCCTGCTGCGGGGCAACGAGGACAGTCGCCCGCTGGTGCACAGCACATGCGGATCCTCCCTGACCTCCGGATCCGGGTGCGGGTCCACTCAGACCATCTCCGACGGCTATGTGAACGAGGCCATCTGCGAGCCGGACAAGTACGTGGCCAGCAAGTTCGGCGACTCCTGCCGCCAGTCGCTCTCCGCGTTGGAGAGTGCCACGCAGCGACTGCAGGTGGAACTGCCCGCCAGCAACAAGAAGTATCTAAGGGAGACCTGCAGTGGTATGTGGATGCCCTGGCATTGATTTAATTGACATATCACTAAAATGGAAAATGTTTAAATTGAAACATGATTAATCTAAAAACAACTCAAATTATGTTCCAGAAATCCAATTAAATTTTTAAGGAAACAATTAATACATAACACATATATTTTAAACGTTTCACTTCTCTATTCCTTACAGCCAACTCCAGTCCAAAACTGTTTCCTCCCCATGGTCCTTTGCGCCTGGATAATCTCAGCCTGTCTGAGCAGCAGGAGTTGAAGGGGGCTGCCTGGTTTCAGGCGGGGATTCCTAGGGAAATATCCCTGGAGGTATTATCCCGGCAGAGTCCGGGTGCATTTCTGGTGCGCCAGAGCAGCACAAAGCCGGGCTGCTTTGCCCTCTCCCTTCGAGTGCCGCCTCCATCGCCTCGGGTGGCCCACTACCTGATCCTGCGGAACCAAAGGGGTTACAAAATAAAGGTGAGAAATTGATGAAATACATCAGCTTAAAAAAAAACAATATATATATTTATAGGTTAAAAAGGCTTCTGTTTTTTATTTTTTATTTAAAATCACTTATAATGATGTCTAAAAGTATGCAATAAAAGTGAATATATAACTTTCTTCATTTTTAACTTCATATTTTTACACACCTTTCCCCTAGTAATTTAATCATACTATTAAGTATATAATCACAGATTTAAATATGTTCTGCTTAATCAGGATTATCCTTTTATCCCGTTATCATTTCAGGGTTTCACCAAGGAGTTCAGCTCGCTGAAGGCGCTGATCACGCATCACTCGGTGATGCCGGAGCTTCTGCCCGTGCCGCTGACCTTGCCACGCCCCCCGAACACCCGATCGCAGCGGCAGGCCGCTTATGGGGGCGGCAGCGGGAACGGGGGAGCGGACTTCGAGATGTACGGCTCGCTCAACGACTTTCGTAAAATGATGGCCGATTTGAATGTGTGACCGCTGGGCGCACTTAATTAATTAAGTAATTATGTCACGTTGATTGAATTAAGCTGCCCGGCTTGTCACATTGTCCGGGTCGAGACAGGATAACAATCTGTTTAATTTGCGTAATTGGCTGTGCTGACGACGGTTGACGTGGCTACCGACAAATGGGGTCCATGTGTATTCCGCCAGGCGATGCGATGGCCCACCTGTATGCCTGTCCGCCAGGTGCTACAAAAAGTGCACAAAATTTTTATTAAAATTGATAATAAAATCAACTACGTGGGCGGCCGCGGCGACTGTGGTTGCGAGGGGGCGTGGTGTGCACACAAAAATGCAATGCGCTCAAATCATTTTTACGAAACTGATTAAAAAAGTGCAAAAACTGCAATATGTATACGCAAACAGACATCAAGTGATTATTATTTTTCGCGTTTTTATCATTTTTACTCGTTTTGTATGGTTTTTGCTGAGTGGCAGGTGCGGCAGACAGACAGATCTGAATGGGGCAGTCGGATTAAATGTTAATGTTTGGGCAGGGATATCGAGAGGCGGCTGCCAGGATTTGGAGTGCTGCAGCGGGATGGGTACAATGGATTCTTTTTGTGGTGCATTTGATGCACTCATAATGCAGAGAACTAGCTAGATAGACTTATATTTTAACTAAATAATTTACCAATTATATTGTAACCCCATGTATTTTGTGTAATAAATTTAATGGAAAATTTTTGTATAATAAAATTGTTTTTGTCTTTCAATAATCGCATATACAATAATTTTAGGGACAAGTATGTTGGAATATATATAATTGAGATTTTTGTTTTAACCAAATTTGAAATTTTGCGCAACCTATCGATCCCATTATATCCTAATTTCGATAGGCCCAGCAAATTATCGGTTTGCGTACTCGCTGTTATGCGTTGAAACCCCGATATGACGGTTTAAGACTCCACTCCTCCATCTCTAGTGTGGTGACAAAGTTTTCAACTCATCCCTATCGTGGTGACAAAGGATTCGACTTGTGTGTACCTAACTTTGATGAACCAAATTCCTCATAAAGTTTACATATTTCAGAATATAATATTCCAAGAGTTATACTAAAATTGGTAATGGATTTTAAGTTATAATAATATTCAATTCCATAGCGATTTCTTTAAATATTTCATTTTAACTGTTAGACTTTAGACTACTATTTTAGAGTAATATTTAATTGATTACACCATATTGATTTTGTTTAATTTGGGTGATCATTGTAGTTTTTAACAGAAAGAGTCTCAACTAACAATTATTTACTGTCATTTCTCTAAACACATTTATTTCCCACATAGCTGGGACGTACAGTACTCTTTGTTACCTGACTGCTATCGATAGTTAATGCTGTTATCGTCCGCCCGATTGCCACCCCAAGGCCAGCTGCCACCGCTTCCCGCGCATTTTCTTCGACCCAGGTAAGTCGAAATCAGTTTCGCTTGCATTCCGGTGTTTTCACTCGCCCAAAAACCTCCGCAGCAACACCATCCAGACAACGTGGAATTCCCGCAGAACCAGAGACCGGCATTATTTCCATTGTGAGTACAAGAAAACACGGCATCATCATCGGCGTCCCTAACCTTATATATTATATACACACATTTTCACCAGTTTCGGACACAAAAAATTGTGAAAATAAAAACAAAAATGCCGCGCAGAAAGGCCCTGACGAACAACAACAATGCCGGCGAGTCGGAGGCACAGCCTCCAAAAGCGAAGCGCGCCAGGATCGCCTTTCATCTGGAGCTGCCCAAGCGGAGAACCATACTGGGCACCGTGCTGGTATGCGGCAACGGGGATGTGGGCCAACTGGGTCTCGGCGAGGACATCCTGGAGCGCAAGCGTCTCAGCCCGGTGGCGGGAATCCCGGATCCCGTAGACATCTGCGCCGGCGGCATGCACAACCTGGTGCTGACCAAATCGGGGGACATCTACTCCTTTGGGTGCAACGATGAGGGCGCCCTGGGTCGCGACACCAGCGAGGATGGAAGCGAATCAAAGCCAGGAGTAATCGAATTACCCGGCAAGGCTTTGTGCATTTCAGCGGGAGACTCGCATTCCGCTTGTCTGTTGGAGGATGGACGCGTCTTTGCTTGGGGCTCGTTCCGGGACTCCCATGGCAACATGGGCCTCACTATCGATGGGAACAAGCGTACGCCCATCGATCTGATGGAGGGCATTCTTTGCTGCAGCATCGCCTCGGGCTCCGACCACCTGGTCATCTTGACCACGGCCGGCAAGGTCTTCACCGTGGGCTGCGCCGAACAGGGACAATTGGGCCGGCTCTCAGAGCGTTCCATCACGGGAGAGGGTAAGTCGCAGACTAACTATGATATTTAGCATCCACATTCAACCATTTTATCCCCCAGGTCGTCGTGGCAAGCGAGACTTGCTGCGGCCCACCCAGCTGATAATCACACGGGCCAAACCCTTCGAAGCCATCTGGGCCACCAACTACTGCACATTCATGCGCGAATCGCAGACGCTGGTCACCTGGGCCACCGGACTCAATAACTTCAAGCAGTTGTCCCATGAGACGAAGGGCAAGGAGTTCGCAGTGACGCCCATCAAGACGGAACTCAAGGATATCCAACAGATTTCCGGCGGCCAGCATCACACTGTAGTGCTGACCACAGACCTCAAGTGTTCGGTAGTGGGTCGTCCGGAGTACGGACGCCTTGGTTTGGGCGACATCAAAGATGTTGTGGAGACACCGACGGTTGTGAAAAAGTTGAGTGACAAGATTGTGGCCGTGGGGTGCGGTGAAGTCTGTTCCTATGCCGTTAGCGAGGATGGCAAGCTGTATTCCTGGGGCTCCGGCGTCAACAACCAACTGGGCGTGGGCGATGGAGACGATGAGCTCGAGCCAGTTGTGGTGGTGAGCAAGAACACACAGAACAAGCGGATGCTGCTCGCATCTGGCGGTGGCCAGCATGCCCTCTTCCTGGTGGAGGCCGATAAGCAGGAGCAAAAGGAGAATATACCGGCTAAGGCGTCCGACAGCGGCAGCAGTAAAAAAGACAACACACCGCAACAGAATGATGCTGACAAGGAGACCGAAAAGGAGCCTACACCTACTCCGACTCCTGCTCCCAAGAAGGCGAAGCCATCCGGCAGCAGCAGCAATAAAAAGAACAAGACTCCGCCGCAGGATGATGCCGATAAGGAAGAGGCCGAAAAGGAGCCCACTCCCAAGAAGGCCGAAAAAGCCAAGAAGCCGGCTCCCAAGCGAGGCGGAAAAAAGACATAGGATTAAGTATAAGTACGCTAACTTTTTCCACTTTGTTTTTCGTCGCATTAAGTTTACAAGCCCGTACGCTTACCTTACGCTTAAAGAATATTTACTCATGGTCCGGATTCGTAAGATAAATCGGAAGTTTTGCTTATTGTATTAAGATTTACGAACTGAATTCTGTTAAGTTCTTATTATTTTGATAAATAGATGTCCGCTTATATCTTACTAGTCTGAATTACGATGGAAACCCCTTTATTAACCCAACTAAATGTTTATTAATTACAACCGTTTGAAGTACGAAACCGTAGTAAATTTGTATTTGAACGCAAAATGAAACTAATTGAGATTTATTTACAAACTAATCAACTTTAATCCGACAATGCTATCGGTTGTTTTTTTTATATAATTTACAAAAGAGACATATCCTACTCACAGTGTTCTATAAATTCTTGGCTCAGGCGGGGAGGAATAGGAGATTACCGACAAAAACGTTACAAAGGCTTGGGCAGTAAGCATGGCATACCATTTACTTGAAACTCGAATAATGTCAAGAAACACGAAAAAGATACTCTTGGCATAGATCTAAAGATGTATATATAAATATGTATATATTTAGGGTGGCTCGACTTGTGAGAAAGGATCAAAAAAGGGAAGAACCTTCGAAAGCGAAGGAATCTGTTTAAAATTCGGAGGAAAATTAGGTAATTTAAAGATTGACCCTTCATACTTTTCAAAGGAAAAACCAGGCAATATTCTTGCAAACCATTCAAGTAGTTATGAAGAATTTAATATTTTCTGTTCCTACTTGCTCTGTAAAAATCAGGCAAGGGTAAAAATTGATCATTAACGTACAAATCGCAATTTCTAGCAAACAAATCGAACTACCCTGGATTTTATAAGTGTGGATTTTGGCTTGACTACGAGTAGTAACACGGCTGACGATTGCCTCTGCCTGAGTCGACTGTGGCTAGGGAGGTTGTGATGGTGGTGGTGGTGGAGTTTCCGCCGTAGTTGCTGCCCAGGTAGAAGCTCACAAACAGGATGCCGCACAGCAGCGACAGCGAAAGGACGACGCGCACCAGCTTCCTTGCGAAGGCTATAAGTCCTAGCAGATGGCCGCCGGCAGCAACGCCGCCCAGCTGCCGGTCGCTGATGTCTTGACAGCTGCGGCACAGCTGCAGATGCGTCTGGATCAGGGTTTCCAGACATTCGCGGTCGAATTGGTCAATGGAATCGGCGCAGTCCAGACCCAATTCCATCAAATCAAAAGCACAGGCGCAGTTCCCCAGTTTTGGGCAGTCGCAATCGTGGTCGTTATTATTGTGGCTATTGCGAGCGGCATCGCTTAGCTCCTGCCTGGTCAGATTACACGGAGAAAGTAAATATTATTTGCGCTTTGCGCACGAATACGCCGTCGCCTTGGGACAGGTGGAGGCGTGGTGGCCCAACTGCTGGTACATCAGAAATCCGAAGCCGGCGAAGAGCAGCAATAGCAGCGCCAGCGTCACATATTGCAGGTTCTGGGTAAACGCCAACTGTCGCTCTATCGACGATTCATGCCCCTGCTGTACATGGTAATTTAATATATTATATAAATTTCTCAAATTTATAGCCATATTGCCACTTACACCGGAGCACTTTTTGCCGTCTACACTGGCCTTGCTGGCCTTGTTTGGACAATCCGGAGGTGCTTTCGGCTTGTTTTCTTCAAAGCGGCAGACCAGCCGGTGCTGTTCCACATCCACCGCTGAGGGGGATTTGTTCCGCCACAGCTCTGTCACGTCGGAACCACCGCATTCATTGCCCGGAGCCACCATGGCCATGACCAGGAACTTGTCCTTGCTCTCTCCACTGAGCTGGTGCTCCGACTTGAGCCATATATTAATAGAGGCCTCCTGGTTCGGCTGGATGATCCCGCAGCGGGGTTTCACACGGAACTTTTCCGGCGATGTGGTTTGGATCTGAAATAGTAAAGGAGTTTAGGTTTTGATGTATAGGATCTTTGCGGAATTAACCCACCTTATAGGTCACAGCCGACTTGGCAATCGACTTGAGGTTCAGCGTAGCTTCCGCATTCTTGGAGTTAAAGTTGACAAACTCCTTGGGATCTATCTGCAGCATGGCTAATCAGAAAAAGCAATATAAGGGTCCCCGCTTTGGTATTAATAGGGCCTTTTTGAATATTTTCAATTTGGGTGGGGACCAAAAAATTTTGTTATAAAAGGATTGGGAACTAAAATGAGCCAAGTTGCTGCTTTGTTATTTATTTGTGACATAATGAGCAGTGCATATTGATATATAGGCAAGGTCTTTGTAGAAAATATGGAAATAGGAGATTATATGTAGACTTGGGACACCACGGTATAAACTTCGAGTTTATAACTTTTAAATAAAATGTTTTGTATACTTCTTGAAGTGATGGGAAAGATACATATGTATGTACTAAGGGATGGTTTCTTACCCTCGGATGGAGTGTGCATCTCGTTGATGTTGGACTCCTTGAGCACCAATGGAGCGGTGTTGGCAAAGGTGACCTGTCGGTTAAAGAAAACTCGGTTAAATGACTGTCTTTTATGGTGAGTATGATAGTTCGGTGCCGCCCTCTCAATCAGCCCCTTCGAACGTGCCTTATGTGTTATTTTCACAAGGGCCGCCCTACTATTCTTGGCACCCTTGAGCTGGCATTATTGACGAAGGTTCCACTTGTGCTGGAGGCCGCTTGGTGAATTGGATGGATTTGGTTTTCAGCCAGATGTGGGGAAAGTATGTGCGGGTCTTGTATGTCTCATTTGCATTGGAATTACTAATTTCATCTGGGTGTTTTATCCGCCCCTATCACTGACCTCCGGATGTAATCTGTAACTCACGTAATAATAACGCTCAGGCTCAGACATCGGTCACATTCGCAAGTTCCCTCACACAGTTTGCTTGACCTAAGTTCTTTAACACATAATTAAAGCCGAACTTTTAGGCTTGAAGATTAATTTTTCAATTAATTCGCAGCCATCAAAATAAACCACAACTGGCAACCCTAAAGCGGTGGATTTCCCGGCTTTATTATATGGGATTCTCAAAACGCGTTAGCCCTTTTGACTATAGTATTTTTTTTATTTAAGTATTATGTACTTAAAATCATTTAACTTTTTTTAAGCCAAGCTTAGAAATGGTAAAAGTTTTCTTTGTCAAGATTTTTAACAGTTCCTTAAGTTTATTTAAAAGAAAAATATTGTTCACTTAAAAACTATAAACTTAGCTTTAAAACAGGCTTAGTAACTGGTAACATTTTACTGGTTCTATTACCAAACCAACATTATTAACTGTTTAAAACGATATTTATTTTTTTTAAGCTAATTAATTTATTTTTATTGTACCACTGAGATCGGTCTAACAGTGAATACTGGTTTAATGCAGGTATTATCACTATAGACAGTTTTTAGCGTTGTTTCTGAGTCAATTGAATTTTATTTTCGTAGGTTTCTTTAGCAAACCAACATTTTAAGCTGTTTACAACACTGTATTTAAATTGTTTTATTTTTATTTTACGTTGCACAATGAAAATTATTAATGCGGGCTTGATGGGTGGAACACTGAACCCTCCAACGGGCAGAAATTTAAAACATTGCTGTCTTTTTAATTTAAACTGAACAAACACCAGTTGTCATTTTAAACAAAGGCAAATATACAAGGTGAAATAATCGTCTTGAATAGCAAGTCAATTCGATCCGTTTCGGGGTTTGTTGTGCTTTTGTTTAGTCTTCCACGTAACGCACACATGATCACCATTAACAGTCAACTTTCAGCATAATTAACCGGATAAAGTCTGCCTTGCCAGTAAATACTTGGGATTTTCGAAGGTTTATAAATGATTTATTGATTCTTAAAGGACTGACACAGATTTCTTAAGCACAATTCGATAAGTATGAACACTTAGCGAGAGGTCACCGTACACAAAACACGTACGCACACACCTACCCTGGGCATTTTTGGTGAAGAATGAATATCAATTGATACAACAATGCAGCTTCCGCCCTCCGATTTCTATTTACTCCTTTGTCTCTCTGCTTATTTGTTAATAACAATTAAAGATTGCAAATGCCCATGACGATTAGTACAAGTTTGGAACAAACACGAACATAAAATGAGGTTGCTTATGAGTTTTTTGTGACTAGTTCGCGCAAATGTACAGTGACTCCATCGCTTAATCGGACAAGTACCTTCTTATGATAAATGTGCTCTAAAAATATACTAAATGGGCTTAATTAATTTTTTAAAATTTTTTTATTATAAATATACACTTTCACTTATCTAAAACAAAAGGAAAAACTCAACATTTTTGTTAAGAACCCAAAGTTTTCAAACAAATACAAATTTATATCGATATTTGGCGCTCAACGAATAATCGGACAATCCCAAAATTAACACAAAAAATCGTTTTTTCCTGAAATTCGATGCAAACTTTAGGCTTTTGAATTGCGTTTGGTTTATTATAGAGATTAGGAGCGAAAACATAAATTTGCTATTATAAAGTAGAAATATGACTCCAAATGGAAAGCAATCCTCTGTAGAACTTCGGCAGTTAGTTGTTAAGGTACATTTTGAAGGAAAAACTGTAAGGGAAATCTCCGAGTTAGTTGGTCCACGACATTATTAAGCGGTTCCGTAATAAATTTAGATTTGCCAATAAAAGCAGGGAAGGCCAAAACAAGATCTTAAATGACCGAGAAGAGAGGTCGGTTTTAAAAGAAATTAAACAAGATCCCTTCAAAACTGCTAAATAACTAAAGATTTTTTGTAAAGACGTGTGTCTCAATACTGTGCGTAATTTTTTTCCGGAAGATTTGTGAGGAAGAAGCCCTTTATTAGCCCCAAGAACAAATAAAATCGCATTAAATATGCAAAAGAATATTTGATGAAAACAGGGGATTTTGGAAGACGGTAATATAGTAGTTATTGAGCTCAAAAAATATTTTTGTTGATTTTTATTAATTAATTAAAGGTTCTATTTAAATAAAAAAATCAACAAAAATATTTTTTGAGCTCAATAACTACTATATTACCGTCTTCCAAAAATCCCCTGTTTTCATCAAATATTCTTTTGCATATTTAATGCGATTTTATTTGTTCTTGGGGCTAATAAAGGGCTTCTTCCTCACAAATCTTCCGGGGAAATTGAATTTATTTAAAGTATTACGCACAGTATTGAGACACACGTCTTTACCAATTCGGTTTTGTAAAGAAATCTTTAGTTATTTAGCAGTTTTGAAGGGATCTTGTTTAATTTCTTTTAAATCCGACCTCTCTTCTCGGTCATTTAAGATCTTTTTTTGGCCTTCCCTGCTTTTATTGGCAAATCTAAATTTATCACGGAACCGCTTAATAATGTCGTGGACCGTAGATTTGCTTTTTCCAACTAATTCGGAGATTTCCCTTACAGTTTTTCCTTCAAAATGTACCTTAACAACTAACTGCCGAAGTTCTACAGAGGATTGCTTTCCATTTGGAGTCATATTTCTACTTTATAATAGCAAATTTATGTTTTCTGCTCCTAATCTCTATAATAAACCAAACGCAATTCAAAAAGCCTAAAGTTTGCATCGAATTCCAGGAAAAAAAACGATTTTTTGTGTTAATTTTGGGATTGTCCGATTATTCGTTGAGCGCCAAATATCGATATAAATTTGTATTTGTTTGAAAACTTTGGGTTCTTAACAAAAATGTTGAGTTTTTCCTTTTGTTTTAGATAAGTGAAAGTGTATATTTATAATAAAAAAATTTTAAAAAATTAATTAAGCTCATTTAGTATATTTTTAGAGCACATTTATCATAAGAAGGTACTTGTCCGATTAAGCGATGGAGTCACTGTAGAAATTTAACTGAATAAAAGCACATCCAAACAGCTTAGAGCTTTTTGGTCGAGGCATTCGGTTCTCGTTCTCTTCGCCTTTCTCTCTGCTCGCTCTTGATTTCTCTCTCGATCAGCTTCTTCCAGCTGTTGTTGTTGCTGCTCCCGTCTGACATAAGATAAACTGAAACTGTAAATGAAAGAATGAAAGTGCCGTTGCAATGAGTGAGTGCATTAAGCGATGACGTCGTGTGGGTGTGCTGTTGTGAGGGTGTGTGTGCTTGAGTGGGTGTTAGCAAGTTGCTGGATAATATTCGCCCTGGGAATATATGTAAGTACACATAAAACATGCTATAATCCCTTTGGCAATGCGCGCTCTACTTTTTTCGGGTCAATGCTTCTGGGCCTCGAGCTGACCGCTAACCACTGACCCCAGCCAGAAAAAGAAAGTTTAGCAATATGTCAAATAAAGGACTATAAATAGCTGCTGTAATATTCAGCCACCAGACTGCTGCGGGTAAAACGAATAGCTGCACTGAAACAAATATTTACAATAGCAAAACGCTAAATTGTACGATAATAAGTTATTATAATCAAAAAATATGTCTCATTGTTTCGATATTGTAAATTTTGGTGTGTAATTAAAGTAAAAATAAAACGAATGTATTTTAAGTTTATAAAAATTACTCATACGACATGTCTGCCGTTATAAAAAAATTACTCATACGACATACGACGCAAAACAGTGTTATCAGTAGCCAACTTAAAAAAACTAGAAAACCAGGACTGAAAACCGGACAAAATTAAAATTAAAACTCAAAGTTTTCGCAAGGTCTTATATTTCTAACGTCTTTTCAAATAAGCCCCCGATTTATAGACTGGCATTATGTTTGCCTAATTGTTAAAAGGGGCAAGATTTGATAAATTTTGTTTAAAAACTTGGTTTTTAAAACAGGATTGGCAATTAGCATAACTTAAGCTAATACAATTATTTTTCAAAAAAAAGGTAGACTTCCAAATAGTCCGTTTTTTTAGACTGTTAAAAAAAGTATTAATATCTCCGGATAAAGTCGAATTGGCAGCACTGTCGCTTTTTTTTATTATTCAATTCATTTTTTACTTTCTTTAAATGAAAAACGAAACCTGGTAAACTTTAAACTGTTAAAGAAGGCTTTCCTCTTTAATGTACTTCTTACAAGAAGCGATGTTCAAGTTAGGACCTATTTTATTAGCTCTTTTCGGAAGCTAAAAATAATTATTATTCCTCAGTGCAGAGCCTTGTTTCGGTAAGCTTAGTGGTCAGTTGGGGACAGGCAACTCACGCAGGACACGCAAACAGCGCACCCTAAATCAATACGCGTCCCAAGAATGTGAATCAATTATGAAGAGAGCGCTTTAAGGTGGTTCGCGTGAGGTTTTGGAAAAAGCAATTAGGCGACCGAGGGACGGACTCCTTCCGGGTGCAGCCATGTCAAAGACAACACGCCCCACAGGCTTGAGATTGAGTCTGTCGTTGTTGGTGTCCTAATACTAATATATGCTTCAAGACTTAGTAACTCACCTTCTTGTCCACGAACTGCTCATCATCTCCGGCATTGGCGGCCACCGGCTTGGCAGCCTGTTTGGCCTGCGGCACGAAGCTAAATTCGTAGTCATCCTCGCCACCCCAGCTGGCCAGGCATTTGTCCTTGGTTATGTACTGGTTGATGTCCTTTTTTGATATCATTTTCAAAATCTCAACTGCTTTTGGTGGCAGAAGAGCCTTGATGACCTTAAAGGCAGCTAAAAGAAGGAAGAAAGAAGTCATGGTCACGGTTAATGTTCAAAGTCTATTGTAATTAGGTAGAGAATCAAATCGATTTAATATCAAGTAAATATTAGCCGAATAAATTTAAAAGGCTTTTACAAATGAAACATTTTAAAAAAGTTTAGAGCTGAAATATAAATTTCTGCTACAACCAATTGAGAATTATAATATTATAGATTATAAAATACTTATACATTATGGTAATATTTATTATATATAATATTATGCTTGATATTTGATTCATTTGGTCCTAAAAGTACATACCATTTAGCACCCAGGCCAGTTCGAACACCAAAATGTAATTCAGGGCATTCGGATAGTACTGCTTAAAAGTCTCCACAATCCGCTTAACGAAATCCAAATCCATGGTGGCCAACCCCGTGCCCGCCATGTCAAAGAATATGGTCAGCTGTGTCAAGTGCCGTTCCCGCTGGGTTCTCTCCACCCAGTACACTACGATGCGGATCAGCTCATCCAGATTCTTAGATTTACTATGAAGTTTCACTCGGAATATTAACAGGGGCGTTTCATCCATATCAGTGCTGTGCACAAATATAGATCCCTCCTTTAGGTATTCCTGGTTCAGCTGGCTCTCGTCGAGGTCATTAGCCCCATATGATTGGCGCCAGGTGCAGGTCTCCCACAACTTATTAAAGGCCGCATCAATGTCGAGATCATGCATTTCCAGGAATCTCTGTAGCCAAAGGCTTTCATTACGAATGCGATCAATATCGGTTGGATGAAAGGGTGCTGACAGCGGAACAGGCCATGTAAAGTAATAAAGCGATTATTGGAATCTTATCTTTGTGCTTAAGAAAATATTTTGTCTAGATAATAAATTCCAGATACGATTATATACATATTTGCTTTGAGTTACAAAATACTGTTTCCACAAACTGTTAATTCTTATCTTTGCCCTTTTGATGTTTAACCCAAAGTTTCACATTTAAGAACACTTAACCATGCAATTTTTTTCGTAATCTTTGTTTGTTTAAGAGGCGCCAGAATTTAAATTTGGAAAAGATAAGGAGCGAATCGATAACAACATAGGGTTGGTTAAAGTGTTTTCTATTTTTCAGAGTAAAGAGGAAAAAACACTTGTCTAAAAATAAACCTTTTATAAATTTCCAATTACTGAAAGCTGTTTAAAAATATTCCATTCGGTTTTTTTTAAACTTCGACCCAAAACACTTAACCTTTAGCTGCTGATAGGTAGTTTTACGGAAGTCCGTATACTATACGCTTTACTTATTTCTATATATACATACTTCCTATAGCTTAGGTCTCAAGTTCAAAGCTTAGGTTTGAGTGCACTTCAGGCATTCTAATCGTTGGGCTGGGCGGTCTGTTTAGTTTATTCATTGACTAAATGGCAAATTTGCACTACAAATAAGGATGTATAATGTAAACAAACTATTAACAGAACACTGCTATACCTCTAGTAATTATCGAATTAAGCCTGTGGGAATATGCGTGGCTATAAACTGAACAACACAGATGTAATTTATTAGTTTTGACAGCTAATGAACGTTGCACTTTGTATTCGTCGAGTGGTTTGGATTATCTCACCTGCTGGCGGTGATGAGGCATATTTGCGATTAAACCTTTCCCGCAGCTCCTCGATTTGCCCTGGGGTCGTCTCCTTGACCTTGATGCCCATGCTGCCGGCTAGTTAACGCACTCGTTCGTAACCAAAATCGTGGACCGACTAAACATTAAAGTATAATTCCGATCGAATGGGGAATTTGTTATTCCTATCGCTTCGCTTCTAATCTGAAATCCACTTTCACTGCGATTAGATTTGTCCCACAAGCAAATTGTTCAACTTGGAACACAGGTGAAGGTACAACAGGTGCCAGCGGAATTCACCGAGCTATCCAAGTGTGTTCCACGAGCGTGCGCGGCCAACTGAATGAGCGACTAACGGTGTCGACAGCGGCTATCCACGTTGGGGATATGTCGCCGCGATCGTTGGCAGTCGGGTGGCGTGCGGATCGAATGTGGAGCACCTGGTTCTCCGCGGTACTATAATGGGCCTCCCAAAAGGGCAACCCACCCACCCCCGTACTGCCGCAATGGAACGTGATCGTGTGGGAGGTGTGCCCCCTGCATTACAATTACCTCCGAACGCTTTAGTGAAAATAAAACCGAAAGCTTTTGAAGCTTTTCTCGCTGGAGTAGTTAAACAAACGGCGAATTCCGGGCAATAAATATCGTATTATTTACACTATCATACAAGGTTTAAGGCAGTTTTAGGCAAATTGAAAAACGTATTCATCATTACCACCCCATTTCGTCAGGCAGTTGTCCTTGTCCACATACTGATCGATGTCCTTCTTGGTCGTAACCTTCAGGATCTCCAGAGCTTCAGGGGGCAGGAAGGTCTTCACAATTTTGAAAGCAGCTAATGACGAAAAACCAGCAAAATATAAAATAGATTTTTAGAAAGAATCCCAACAAACATACCATTTAACAGGAAGGGCAATTCATGCACCAGAATATAGTTGGGCACATAGGGGTATTTGGTCTCGAACACGCCGACAATAGCCCTGATAAAGTCCAGATCCAAGTTGCTCAGACCGGAGTCAGTCATGTCCATGAAGAGGGTGATCTTATCCAGGTTGCTCTTAAGCTGCAATCGCTCAATCCAGAAGACGAGGATTTTCAGAAGATCCTCCTGATTCCGACTCTTCGAGTGCTTGCAGATGCTAATAATTAGCAGAGGTTTTCCGTCCTTATCCTTGTTGTGGACATAGATGGAGCCATCCCTCAGGTATTCCTGGTTCAGGTTCTCCTCGGTGATATCGTATACTCCAAAGCTCTTCCGCCAGGCGAGATTGTCCCACAACCTCGTGATGGTTTTCTCCATATCAAAATCATATACCTGCAGAAGTTTGGTGATCCATAGGTCACTGTCGGTAATGCGCTTCAGATCGTTGGGGTGGAAGGGGTCTAATTTATAAGTGTACATGTCAGATAATATGTACATGTTATTATTTCTTTGGCTTACCTGCTGGTGGCTCCTTCTCCAGTTTCTGGAGAACGGCAGTCTTCACCTGGCTAATCTGCTCGGCAGTGGGATCCTGATCTGAGGGCATGCTGCTGCTTGGGTTTACTCGAACCAACTGAAATGTCCCCAGTGCTGGGTCTTAAATTTATATCAATAGATAATCCTTATCTACCCCTTAACTGTTAGGAGTTCTGGGGAGGAAGTATTCTTAATCTGGGAGCGAGATGACTGGCCAGCGAGCGGACTAATCAACGACTGACAGCACACTCTGGCCCCAAACGTTTGCCGTTCCGCTCGTCGAGAGCGTTTTATTTGTTCTCCAATTGTGCTCTGCTTTCCAGACGATCATGTAAATGACTCAACGCGGGTGGGGGTCTGACAGGGGCAACCACACCGCCGCCCGTTCTTTAATCAATATAAAAAAAAGACAGAAACACATTACCCGCAGACCAGTGCGGGGGGCAATGAAGGGGGACCAGCCAATTGCGATAAGCGGAACTGGTAATGTTTATGGTTCGTGCAGGCGACTCTTCGGGAATTGGTTTTTATTACTCTTGCTGTGGTTTTCTTTCCGATATTTCCACTAGTTTCATTCATTGACTGGGGGTGTGGAAATTCTCTGTGGTTTTCCTTGATTCGATATAGCGAGCAAAGTCTACTAAGCCCATTTATTTTCCTCCAAATGCCAGTCATTGAATACTGTTTATGTAATTGATATCTAATGGTTGGGCTTTGCTACCATTACAGTAATTTCATTTATTTTCTTAACAAGGGGTATTCATCATTAATTTGTATTTAGCTACATACATATATATAGTTAAGTTCAGAAATAGCTCACATATTAATCTTATCAACCTTATGAACTGAATTTGTTTCATTGCTGTTTTTATTACCCAGATAGAGGGATTAAAGGTGTTGTATGCTAAAATTGCAATAATTTTATTTTTTTATCGTTAGAAGTTAGCATTTGTTCTGCCTTGTGTACTATTGTACTACCAAAATATACGCTTCTACATAAATGTATTTAGGCAAATATTTAATTTAAATGTTCTGTTATAGGTACATATGTACGTATTGTTATCAACAAACCGAATTTAATTTTGTTTTGTGCTTATTTTTATTACCCAGATAGAAAGTTTAAAGGTCTTCTATTATTGTTTTTTAACGGATGCCCAGCAGTTGCTTACTTACTTTTTTAATTGGCGTTATTAATTACTGGATTTACTGCTTGGTAATTATATTGCTTACCAGCTGCGGTTATACTTTACTATATACCATGTTTAGTTAAACTGAACAAACAATTGTTTAGGTTAATTATGCATTAGAATTATTAAAGCAAAATTATGGATTTTTAATTAGTTAATTAATTTATGAATTAGATAATTTAATCAAATATAATCAATTTTTGAACTCAATATGTGTTGCGCTTTTGTTATTGTTGACATTGAAAACGGATGAGAGGAATGGAACGAGCGGACAATAACAAAACCGAAGCCATTTACATATCGAAAGCTCGATACCCCGGCCCGTAGCCCCCGCCATTTGGACCATCCGACATCGACATCCAAGAACTTTTCTGGCCCAGTTGTGATGTTTACGTGAAAACGTGCGTTTGAAGAGACCACGTCCTCGCCGTTCAGCCGGATGCGGATGCAGTGCAGCCAATTGTGAGATCCCCCAAAGTCCCCGAGATGAAGTTCGCCGAACACCTGACGGCCCACATAACGCCGGAGTGGCGAAAGCAGTACATTAACTATGAGGTGAGTGCCGCAAATTGTCGGATTGGAGGTGCGGAAAAATCTGTATCCGTGTAGATACACGGACGAGTGTGCTTTTCCCGCTGTCATTTTGCCAGCTGTGACGTCACGTGCCCCATCAGCTGTGTTGGTCCAACTGTCAAATGGTGGAGCTTTCAACGCGCATGCGCCCTTATTAGCGGCGTTTTGTGTTTTGCTCTCCTTGGACGTAAACAAAAGGGAAAAGGATGAAAAAGTGGGGAAAGAAAGCGGTATATAGTGGTATAAATACAGTCAGGTCCAAAAGAATATAAGCTATTTTATTTTATTAAAAACGCTTTTTTGGTCATCACTTTACTAGTGATTAGCTTATATAAGCTATACAATTTAGTCATTGTCCTTGGTTAAACAGACAAGTTATAGAAATTTAATTATATTTTCTTAGAACTTGTAGCGTGAGGAAAAAAATACATAATTAATATTTCAATTTAATGAATTGATGGGTTCTTGATATTTAAATAATCTAATTTATTTAGCCAATACCAAAACAAAATTCAACCATAAATTAGATAAGTTTTACGTCTTAGTTGAATAAATATAAAAGTTCTATTAATCAAAATGAAGGCCATTTTTCATAAGAAAAATAAAGTTACACGGTTTTTTTCGCGTTGAAATTATGCACAGTGATAAATAATATGTGCTGTATTAGTATTAATATTAATATTTATCGGTTTCATGCAGTAAATCTGAATAAGCGCCTTAATAAATCTTCAAAATTAATACAAATATTAAATGTTCTTGTACATTTATTCCTTTTAGGAGATGAAAGCCATGCTTTATGCGGCCATCGAACAATCGCCATCCGCAGAGCTCGTGGAGCGCGAAATGGTGACCCGATACTTTGCCAAATTCGATGAGGAGTTCTTTCACTACTGCGACAAGGAGCTGGCCAAGATCAACACATTCTACTCGGAGAAGATGGCCGAGGCGACTCGCAAATATGGCAGTCTGCGCAGCGAACTAACCGAGGCCCTGGAAATGGGTCATCCGAAGAAGCAACCGGCCTGGAAGAGGCGCACTCCGCTGGGCAAGAAGAATGTGCCGGCACGCAAGATACAGGATCTCAAGTTGGCATTTAGTGAATTCTATCTGGGGCTGATACTGCTCCAGAACTACCAGAACCTCAACTTCACGGGTTTCCGTAAGATACTTAAGAAACATGACAAGCTGCTGAGCGTGGATTATGGTGCAAGGTGGCGCACGGATCACGTGGAGGCGGCACACTTTTACACTAACAAGGATATCGATCGGTTGATCCAGGAAACGGAGCAGGCCGTTACCCAGGACATTGAGGGAGGTGATCGACAGAGGGCGATGAAGCGGTTACGTGTGCCTCCACTGGGTGAGCAGCAGAGTCCTTGGACTACCTTCAAAGTGGGCCTCTTCTCCGGCGCCTTCGTAGTCCTCTTCATAACGGTTGTGATTGCGGCCATGTTCTATGGATTCGGAGAGAATTGGCGAGCTGGAATGAGGATGTTCCGAGCTCCATTCCTGATCATTGAATGCCTTTTCCTCTGGGGCGTCAACGTCTACGGTTGGAGGTCATCTGGTGTGAATCACGTCCTCATCTTTGAGTTGGATCCACGCAATCACTTATCCGAACAGAACATCATGGAGGTGGCTTCGGTGTTTGGAGTCATCTGGGCCATCTGTGTGCTGAGCTATATCTTCTGCGATCCATTGGGCATCCCGCAGTACGCAGCTCCACTGTGCCTCTACACATTGATGGCTGCCTTTTTGCTCAATCCCACAAAGACTTTCCACCACGAGGCTAGGTACTGGGCCTTAAGGGTCCTAGGCCGAGTAATCATGGCGCCTTTCTGCTTCGTAAACTTTGCCGATTTCTGGCTGGCCGATCAGCTAAACAGCATGGTTCCAGCCTTTCTCGATATACCCTTCCTGATTTGCTTCTTTGGTCGGAGTCCCACGTGGCACAAAGCCGGAAAGGGTGAGTGAATCCAGATTTCTGATAAATACGAATGTCTGGTCAAGGCAGTCGATTTGTTGGCCAATTTATGAGCTTACTAAACCATAAAACGTTTCATCATAAATCGAAGTTTGAACTGATATTGGAGCCAAACAGTTTCCTACCTTAAGATTTAAAGTAAAGTGAATTTATACATATGGATTACTTCAATTTTAGACATTTTAAAAAATTGTAATTCAAATTGTTCAGTTTTCTTGTGCGTTGCTCGGACATTTCGCTTTCCTTTTTAAACTTGAATAAAACATGTAATTTTCCTGAAAAATGTTCATTTCCAGTAAATGTTGCTTTTAAGTTAGCATACATAATAAAAGATGAATATAAATCGTCAATTCAGTTCCGGGAATCGCCAGCATGAATGATTTAATTAGGGGCCGCAAAGTGGTTATTTAACCATCATTGTTATTTCCATTCCAGCTGCCAGTCACTGTGTGGAATATGTGTCCCTGCTGCATCCTATTGTTGCCATTTTGCCCGCCTACTTTCGGTTCGCCCAGTGCATCCGCAGATACCGCGACACAAAGGAGTCATTTCCGCATCTGGTCAACGCAGCGAAGTATGCAACCTCCTTCTTTGTGGTGATATTTGCCCACAAATATCACACCACCACGGGTAAGTGGATTCATTATGGGTTCGTGAGTTCATTAGGCTAGACCAACGTCACCGCAAGAGCAAATATATATACCTACATTATGCGTGCTGTTTACGGTCCGGTGCCAATTAGTCCCGTCTTCATGGCCGAAAATTCATGTAAATTGTGTTTTGGCAGTGGGGCACGTGCATCTCCATCCCACTCACTCTGTGTTCTTCTGATTTACAGATACCTATCCTCTGTCCAAGGACAATCCCTGGGTCTACTGCTGGATTTCGGCGGCCATCTTCTCGTCCTGCTACGCCTACACATGGGACATCAAAATGGACTGGGGATTGTTTGACTCGAAGGCGGGCGACAATCGATTCTTGCGTGAGGAAATCGTTTATTCATCGACGGTGAGTCGGATGGGTGTTGTCTTTGGGGGAACGGAGAAGGTGGACCTTCCGAAAATAATGGCCACGATAAATATTTGGGCGAACAGCACCTTTGAAAGCATTCATTATCCCCCTCCTTTCTCGTTCCTTAGTGGTTCTACTACTTTGGCATAATTGAGGATTTAATTCTGCGCTTCAGCTGGACCTTGTCCATGAGTCTAATTGAGGCTGGCTACATCGAAGGCGATGTAATGATGACCATTCTCAGTCCCCTGGAGGTTTTCCGTCGTTTTATTTGGAATTATTTCCGATTGGAGAACGAGCATTTGAACAACGTGGGCAAGTTCAGAGCGGTCAGGGATATATCGGTGGCTCCAATGGACTGCTCTGATCAGGTGAGTTTTGCTGGCAGCTATATAGCATAAAAAGCAATGTAAACATTTCTATTACAAAGTAGGGTTTGGGAAAGTTAATAATTCTCTCTTAAATTGGCCTTCCCAATTTAAACACTATACTGAGTGAGATTTGGATAGTGAAAAAAATATATACATCCAATTTGTTTTTACAATTTTAAATATAAAACGCATAATTAAAACCCGAATACGACTGCTATTTTTTTTGAAGTACTGACTTTTTGTTCTCTATTTTAATTAACATGTAATTTTTTTTTGTTTTGCGCCGAGTGATAATCAAAATATAAAAAAACCTGATGGCGTAGTTTCAGCAAAATTGTCCTTTGACCAATGTATTTTTATACCCTTGGACGGGGTATTATAATTTCAGTCAAAAGTTTGTAATGCAGTGAAGAGCACGTTTTCGACCCTCTAAAGTAAATCACATATTATTGATCAGCTAGGAACAATAGGGAAAAAATTAAAATAAAATTATAACTTTGTTCGTATATCGTATTCTTTACCAATTTCAGAAATTTTATAAAATTCGCTCGACTATATCATATAGCTCTCATAGGAACTATCAGAAAATCGACCTATCTTTATTGTTTTTAGGCATCGTAATCTAATTATTGAATATTTAATTTTTATAACAGCTAAAAGGGTAAATAAACTTCGAAGTTTGCTTTATTTCTTGTTTTTTGTTGTCATTTATGGCGAGTTTTGGTCTACACCGCATAAAATAATTTTTTTTGGGCGCCACTGGAGATTCATTCAATACATTTGTAATATTTTTCAGCAAAAATAAAAAGAAATTTACATACACAATTTTTTAATATCCTATTCTCCTTGCTCTTAATTTCAGACCACTATTCTACGAATGATGGATGAAGCGGATGGTGTGTTAAATCGAAGGCGTGGAAAAGCCGCTGGCGGCAAATCCGGAACAAAGAAGAACAAACAGGAGCAGCGTCTGCTCCTCCAAGGAGAATCCATCGAGGACCTTTGCTCGTAGTGGGTCGAAGATGTGGATACCCAATAAACAAATCTCTGTGTGCACAAATTTTAATTTCATGCTAATAAAGCACTGCAGTTGCATTCTCGGACAATGAATGATCCCAATTCCATTGATTTTGGCATCTGTGCGGAAGAATGCTCGATTTCCATTTGTGTACCATATGTGGGTGGAGACGGTGATGGCGATTGATGATAAGCAAAAGTTCAATTTGCGTGACAGTTGAACAACAAAACTTTGGAAAACTTTGGGTTTTATTTGGGTCTGCCATGTTGGGTGCCTAAAAATACATTTGCCAAACCATCCGCTTGATTGTTGAGGTTGTCATAGCAAATTTGCGTAAACGTTAGCATATGTTATTATTGCTCACATAACAATGTGTGCATGTCGCTTTGATATGTTTTGATGATGTGTCCGAAACCATAAAAATGGATGACCACCGATTAGCAAGAAACTGTCAGTAAATTTTTTTGTTTTCAGCTTGTTTTCTAGGAATTTGTGTGTAAATATGAAATGTCTATTTTTTTGCATAATAAATTTAAAAGAAATTTCATCGATGGCTGTTGTTGGCAACGAAATTTAATGTATTTCAACGTGGCTCACCGCAGGGAGTTGGAAAGGTTCCGTTCACAGCTGCTGTATATTGATTGATTGATTGTATTTTGTCAAGTTTTGCTCCCTTCAATGCACTGTAATTATTTAATAAAACTTTGAAAGATATTCGCTCCCTGCTGACTTTGTTAATTTCAACAGCCAAGCATTTTCATTGATTCATTATCGATGTGAATACAAAAAGTTGTAGGTTAAAGGCGAGTAATTCACGTGGTTTTGGCTTTTTCATGCTCTTTTGTATTTAACCTGACCACTAACAATACAATGAGCTTTGCCTTTCTGTCATCGTCAACCACCGTTGTGCGGTCTTTTGGAACAAATAGCGATAATAAATGATAGTCGAATTTAATATGTGCTCAATTTAATAATGCGAATGGAAAACTTAACAAGTTTTCGCAAAAGAAAGTTTCACAAATTTGTTTCGGAAACTTTTTGTGTTTCTCTTAGTCAGAAAGTTATGATGTTCTAGGAAGAACGCCATTGTTTTTATATATATTCTTTATAGTTTTCTGTGCCATATTGTAAATTGTTAAAGTGTTTTAATTTTGTATTTTAACAGCTAATAAAACTTGGGAGTTCTGACAATGCAGTTGTTGTTAAGCAAGGAAATAGACAACAAATGACATAAAAACGTGAAAAGTAAAGGTTGATTTGAAAGTGAAACATTTGACAATCAATAAGGCTTGCCAGCTTTGTGTTTTCGTGAGGTAAATACCTTTTTAGGGTTTTCTGCTCTTCCACTTTTGGCACAAGCTGTATTTTCTATTTGAAAGCGGATTATATCACGGTGTTCAGTATTCAACAGTACATGGGCCAATGTTCAATTCATACTGCAGTTCATTCAATTTTATATTTTTAGAATTTTTCCTCCTCGGAGAAACATTTTTATGTGATCCCGTTGCCGGGCAACTGCTGTAGCAAGGCATTGTCCATTAGGAACCATTTATGGCTCACAGATAGGAATTTCCTTTAAGCCATTCCCGTGATGGTGACTGTCACATCGATGCGAATCTCCTAAGGGCGAGTGCTTGTTTTTGAAGGCCTGCGATAAGTGGACCCTTTTTGGGAGAGTTTTTATTAGCCCGGGGATATAAGTTGCCCAGTGGATTTAGCGACATTAAATTTTGCAGCCCTCAAGATGAACCCATTGATAACGTGTTTAGGTATCTGTTTTTACCTTGCGGTTGTAGCTTTAAAGCAGATGAAATGTAAAGTATGCTTACATTCTGGGTAATGCTTTCACTTAAAGTCGTTCACTTTGGCGACAAGCAGCAGCGCTTACTTTCACATGTCAACACAACGCTGACAACTTTTTTTCCTACTTGGTTGCGTTTTCGGTTCCTTTACTGCTGTCAAAGCCGATTTTCTTGATTTGATGGAGGGACCAACATAGGCTCAAAGAACTGATGGAAAGCACACGTTGTGCACACAGAACAATGGCAACAATATTTCACATGGATAAGCCCCGCTGCGTATACGTATTGTTGTGTTAACATTTTCGGCATGGCTTGCATTTGTCCACGTTTAAGTTTCTGATTGCATTTGTTTGGTTTAGCTTACTAAAGTTTGTATTACGTATACGCCGTGTTCGCCGTTTGCAAATGCTTAAACCATTCATGTTAGTTTAAGTCTAGTTGTACCTGTTTATTGTTCTGGAACATCTGCGCTCGAGGCTGATAAATGAATAAACATTCAGTGACAACGGCTGAATGCATTTCCACATAGCAGCATGGCAATCAGATATGCAAATGTTCTAGGATTAAGTGATTGAGAGGCCTGCGTTGGTTGTGTGGCATGTGCGAAATTGTTAAGCCAAAGCAAATTAAAGTTTATCCGAACATATCGATCTGCATATTCCAATTTAAATTTCACAAATAAATGCTGCCAATCAAATGAAAATAGTATTGGCTTGTTGCTAAAAATAATTTTAATAAATACGTAATATAGAATGCTTTGACTGCTGATGCGTGCACAGACATCAGGCTCATTAAAACAACAACTGCAAGTCTAGAATTGCAATTATTTGACCACGCGTAAATATAAATACGGCCTGTAAGAATTGAATACATTTTGTTCTCCACTTTCCACTGTAATGGCCCGTGTCAAAAACAGCCCTTATTTTTAGCCGGAACACTGATTGAACAAATGTTTACATCGAAAGTTAATTAATTAATTTAAAGCGTCTGACAATGGTCCCTGCCAACCACGACTGACAGGAAGAAGTCGGGTATTGGCACTCAATATGCTAATCGAAAGCCCACAAGTTTAAATTAACCATGAAAAACATTTTCATGGGCAAAAGTGCGTGGCCTTTAATTTCGGGTTGGCAAATTTAATGTCAGCAAATGTATGGATAGCCCCAAAAGGGGGCATAAATCTTATTTGCCAATGCCATTCTAACTTATTTGAGTGGGATATGCTGAGTAATTCGATGTGGAAGTGAAGCCAACGGCCTTTGGTCCCATTCGTTTGCCCACCATTGATTGATGGCCATGGTGTTTGCAGAGGAAAAAGCTATTTATAATATGTTTATTATTTATCATGCATGCTAATGCCTATATATATAAACACACATATTCATGTGTTTATTGGTCCGGCATGTTTGCCGATGAAATTTGATTGAAACTAATGGACGCAAACGCAGAATGGCATCCGCAAATGTCACCCAAAGGACACGTAAAAGCCATTCAAATATTATGAGTAATTCAGTCAAGGTTTCGAGCTTCTAATTCGGCGGAAAGGAGATAAAGGGATAAGGAATTCCTTTTCAGCGAGTTCCATAACAAGTTTCAAATCCTTAAAGCCCATTGCAATAAGCTTATTTCTTATGTTGACGCTCCAAGAGAATTCTATTTAAAAGCATATCAATTGTCAACCGCACTTAAGCTCAAGCACTTTCAGACGGTTTATCATTTATAGAAATTCTCCTACTAAAATGAAAATTTTGCCTCCCTATGTCAAAGAGGTCAACTTTACTTTTCCATGAGACAGTTTAGAAAACCCATCTCCTTTTGGCCAAAATGTCAAGTGGCACTCGCGCCGTCAGAACTAAGTTGTGACAGCGAATTTCAAATGCAAACACGCCAGCCGACAAATTAAAATGGCTCTCCTCTAATGAAAGATCAACAAACAACAGTGCTTGCACCATTAAAGTTTGTTTTTTTGGGGAAAACTATTATTATTAATACTGCATTTAGATCGCTCCGGAATAGTTTGAAAATGCGTAGTTGGTTAAACACAAGGAGATGATTTACATTATAATTTGTAATCAGTTTTGGTAAATTTGTTTTAGCTACAAAACTAGCATTATTCGTAGTATATTTTTAGTCGATTAGGGCATATTCAATTAAATGCATCAAATACCGTGCTAATTGGATTTAATTACAAGGCTCCGAATTTTACAATCTTTAACTTGGTGGTATTCATCCTTCTCAAATTTGCATATTTATTGCTGAAAAATTAATCGCTTTACACCCGACTTCCCTTTGCGGATTTATTTACCCGCGAATCGTTGTCGTGGCAACTATTTCAGCTGCGGTCTGTCTAGTACCCTCTAAAAAAAGGGGGTATGTTGGGACTGGAGGGTAAGACGACCTTCAAATTTTGGCAGAAATTCATATTAATGTATGCAAGCCATTTTTTTTATATTTAAGCAGTCTGCGTTTTATTTTACCACTTAACTTGAAAAGGGTATGTGCACTGTCCAACCGCCAAATGTTTTATTATTCATGTTGTTTTTATTATATTTATTTCTTTCATACAGAGCGTGGGTGTATTGCCAATTAAAAAAGTCTCGTAAAATGTAAGAAGATCACGAAATGCTTAAAGGGTAAACAAATAAATTTCGTTCTGGCAGAATCTCCAAGAGTAATGTAAAAGGTTAAGAATTTAATTCATAAAAAAAGGAAACCAGTGGGGCTTTATTTGCAAAATGGATTCTCTTTACAGTTTGTCTTGTTGTGAAAAAGACCTCAAGCCTTTTGTATGCTAATATTGTTCCGTCTGAAAAAGGTCAGATGTTTGCTTTCGTTTCAAAGTGCGCGGTTTTTACTTTGAAGCAGCGCGTTAAATAAGAGGCTCAATTAAAAATGGCTTAAGGTTTCCGGAAAAAGCCTCTTGTACTCTTAATGGTGGCCTAAAGCATTCACATGTGCGACATCTGCCTAATTTCCAACGAATCCTCGTTATATTTCAACACAGAGGTGTCACCAAAGCCCACATCTTCTATAGGTTACAAGATTGATGTCTGGGCCTTGTTCCACATAATTTACTTTCACGATTTATTGCTGACAAACGGTTTTTGCTTATGCGAAAGCTTTGCCGACTTATGTCCTAATTATTTTCGCCTCGATATGTGTCTGTTGAAGTGCGTTGGAAGTCCTAAAAAGACGGAGGGATATTTCAGTCATCGGCACGAAAATACTGCTTTAATTCCACAAAGCTGTTTAGATTTTACACTTGGCAGCATTGCCTTATTAAGAAAGCAATTTGTCAGCCCCCAAATGACCATTGAGAGCTGGTCATATTCAAGAACAAATATGACTTCTTGGGAATAACGAGTTTTATGTTTCAATTAAAGCCTCCCTTGAATGGGCCCAAGGAATTTTAATCCCAAATGGTTTTCTTCATTTAATATTCATTAAGATGCTTACATCTTTTATGGCATCTCCTTGGAGCGTAAATTAGCTTCATTTGAATGCTAATTTTCTAATTGAATGTATATAGACACGTAACCGTGAGCGAATGTGATGGGCTTTAAGCGAGCACACGCACATAAATCTACATAAATTTCCTGCCAACGGACGTTCATATCGGCCCCTTCCCGGCCACGCTGCGTATACGCAATAAAGCGAGTGACAAACTGGCTGCCGCTCTCGTCAAGCGTCAAGTTGCCCCAAAAATTCTGTTTACTTTCTGCCTTTTAAAATACACCAACACACACACACATATATAACCTTAGCCTGTTGTCATATGCTATAAATCAAGTGAAAGTCCAGAAAGTCTGGCGAAGGCAGGAAAAGTCCTTGGGCCTCAAGTTTGCTTAAATCTGTCAGTATGTTTTGTGAGTTGGGGGAGAAGTAATAAGATAGCTTTAAAATTTAACATTTAATTAAATCTAAAGGGTTCTATCTCCTGATTTTGACACACACAAGTTTCGGATTTCTATTGTTGCGAAAATCGATGGCTTGATGCATGCTCAGAAATGTTGGACATCCTTTGTTACACTTCCTGTTCCTGTTAATCCTGCAGCCAGAGGGCGGTTGTCAAAACTTTGCATCTTGTCGGTTTTTGGGTCCCATCAAAAATGCATGTGTGTATATACTTCCCTCCAAAGTTCGATGGCGACCACTAGTGGTGCCAGTCAAAGAGTCCGAAGTTGCGGCTGCTGAGGGCGACAGGAATTTCATTTGATTTCACTTATACTTTAATTGAATTTTCACTTAAGGAGTCAAGACGTTTGGCAAATATTGCCACTGCCCGCCGCACTCAAGCGCTAATGGAAAACTCATTATCCTGGCATCGAGAGTCAGGGAGCGCAGCCACCTTCACAATTAGATAGAAAGCGTGCGCATTTCTGGCTCGTGTAAGTGAGCTTATTGTCAATTGTGTGTGCACGACAAGGATCTAGCATTCTGGTCTGGCGCTATATCCCTTAAGTGCCCCACAATGGTTACTTTAAAGTGCCAACTGCTGGCTGTTGATAAAATAAATCCAAAGTAATTCCATGGATTTGCAACGCGAGTGCAACATATCTTTCCACAATTTCCACGAATGCAGAGATAAAATAATCTAGAGATATAAGCCGAGCTTTTTATTAAAAAATATATTTTTTTTGATGCAAATATTTATGGCTTTCCACAATCTTTCTACATGAGTAATTACATCTGCATTCCATGGCTTCTGAATCTCTTCCATGTTGGTCTAAAAATACATTCATCGAAGGCCAAAATCGACTGCCATTTATTTTTGTTGGCTGCTGTTTGTCTTATAATTTAAGTCCAACAATAAGTTTGTAATCGATTGGCCAGCATTTTTGACTCTTAATCACTTATGTTTGTGCAAGAAATTCCTCGGAAACTCGATATTTATCTAGCAGACTTTCCACCACTTAGGAATCCATTAGATTAGGTTTTTTTTTTTGACATTCAACTTCGACCAATGTCTTGATATTTTTGGCTTGAGTGTTTTAAGGAGCTTGTCAGAGAAATGTGCGGAATGCTGTTGCCTGTGGCAATGTCAATATTTAAGCAACTTATTTTTTTGGCCGCCGAATGTAATAAAATTGCCAGATTCGCTGAGTCTTTATGTGGAAGTTTCCATAGCGTCCATGACCATGTGTACATGTCTTTTGAACTCATCCTCTCAATTCCTGTAAAGTACAAAACAACTGGAAAAAAATCTTATTACTTCGTTTTAAAAAAAAAAAGTAAGTGACATTCATTATTTGGCTATGTATTTCTTGTTTAGTGTTTAGATTGACAAGAGAAACTTCTCAAACGGATTAATTATTTGAACTTTTAAAACTCATTTTGAATTTGTTGCTTTTCTTTGAAAATATATCTTCACAGTTCTTTATGCATGAGGTTTTATTTTTGTATCCCCTTGTTTTAGGCATATTATTTCAATTAACATATTAAAATTTAATACATTTTATTAAGAAATAATTAAAATAATATAAATAAAAACCTGCAGCAAACCTTTTGAATATACAAAATGAAACCAACCGAAATTAAATATAATAATCTAAGAGCTAATTAAATGTGAAAATGACTATAACTTCATGGGCATTTTTCTCAGTGTGACAGAAGCAATTACACCTGTAAAACCTGCTGCATCATGGCATTTTTACAGTCAGGACTGTTGCCCACCGAATTGTGTGGCTTCTCCGGCGCAACGCTTTGTCATCGACATTTGGCGGCAGGAAGCCCAGCTCAGTTCCTAAACTATATATGCACTTCAAGGTAGCGATCCGGTGTCAGTTGTCCCTGCAACTTCACCTGGGGGTTTAATTAAGAGTGCCAATTCAGTCGGGTGATTAAGTGCCTTTTAATGAAGGTTCTATTCTGGTCTGATGACGTCTGTAGTCCCTTGCCAGCAGTTGTATTAGGTTGCAGTGGATACAAGATTTGTTTGCCTTTCAAAGGATTTTTAATTATTTTGCCAGGTTGTATACAAGATTGGTTTGACTTTCAAAGGATTTTTAATTAGGACTTTAAAGCATAATTATAATATCATTAGCCGGGAACTAAAACCACTTAACCCTATTCGGGTCAAGTCAGCATTTTCTAAATGGTAATTAAGTTTTTAAAGTCTATTTTTTCCCCTGAACCCTTGTTGTTTTAGGTTTATTTTTTGGACCTACGGCTGTCTGCCCCTCAGAACTTCAGCATTTGAATAATTATTTAAAAATGTTTGACCTGGGGTCATCTGCTCGAGTGACTTTGTATTTTGGTTATGCAAAGCACTAGAGCTTAAACAGAGCTCACATCCTGTTGGCATTGAAAAGCACCGGATTTTACCCTTAAGGTAAAGGAGAACTTTAATGCTTCGTATTTTGTTGGGATAAAATGAGTTGAGTTAAGAAAAAACAGAGCAATTAAAGATTATTTTGAATTATATGGTAATTATGGATAGTAGTTTAACTTTTTTTTACCACTTTACTGATTTTGGTACTGGACATAACTTTTTATGAATTTTTCAAAACGTATGGTAACTTAAAGAAAATAATTTGTATACCTTAAACTTGTTAAGATTCCACTGAAATTAAAGATGAAATTTCCTTATTTATGATGGTTTTCAAGCAAATGATTTTATAATTAGTAAATGGAAAAAGAAGCCCTGCGTCTTCTGTATGCGAAAATAGGTGTTGCCAAATACTCTCAGAATCCAAATTTTCCCGATTTTTTAAAGTGTCAGAATGAATGTTCACATCACTGAAGTTTTACTGTACTTACAGTTGAGTAGCCGAAGTGAGGCAAGCTTACGACAGTTTGTGTTGTTTGGGGACTGAAAGGCAGAGTGCATTTATCATTTCCTGGAACCTTGTTGTGTCTCCCACTTAGATTAAGTTGCTCCGTTTACATGAACCAGGCATGTGTGCATGAAATGCGTAAGTCTTTAGCTGTGAAAGAAGGATATTGAAAAAGCCTGGTGTGCCTCTTGGAAATCTGATTTTTTTTTTAATTCTGCCATCTAGGGACAATCAATTTGTAAAAATATCTGAATTCTTGCTTAAATCTCTGCTGGGATCGGGGACAAATACGTAACGTTGGCTTAGTGACGAGTGGGACTTGCATCACTGCAATGAGCCGGGCTGGAAGCCAGAGTAATAATTGGAATTCGGGCCAGTTGCTCTCCATTCGTCTGATCCGGTGGGTGGCCTATATGTTATTATATTTTGTTAAATGAAAATGGTTGGGACGTGGGCATTAGGGGGTCTTACCTATCCGGGACTGCTGCTCCTCCTCCTCGGTGATGGTGGAGAAGTTGGTGAGCCGCTGCGAGGTGATCAGCGGACTGGCAGCCGCGAGCATTCGTCGCCGCTTCCCGTTTCCGGTTCCGGTCTCCAACTGTTGCTGCCGATTATGTTGCTGCTGCTGCTGCGTTTGCTGCTGTTGCTGCTGCGTTTTGGTTAGCTTCTCGGCTGCTGTGAAGACCACAATAGGCTTGGGTTGGGCGGAGGCACACGGTGTTCAAGGGGGGAGGGCAGGTAAGCATACATGGGAGTGGCACAACACATTCACCGAATACCTACCGATGCCGAGGAGTTCGCCTGTTGCAGCTCCGCTCGCTGGGCGCGGAATGTTTGGTACTGCGAGATGACGCACAGCAGACAGTAGAGCTGCAAATACAAGTGATGGAAGGGGGGTCAGCAGTTGTTCAAAACGCCCTTTGCCATTCTTTACACTTGATAAATTATGTACACAAACATTTTTGGATCGTTGCCAAAATCATAATTGTAAACTTAGTTTTTGGGTTTTATGACCACAGTGCTAAAGTGACTTATGAAAGCATAACAACATGGGTATTTTTATAAGTTGTGGTTTCTTTTCTTAAATATGTTGACATAAACAAAATGCTGCAAAAAGGTTTTTAAAAAAATATAAAAGGTTAATTGGTTTTACAAATTATATTGCCCGTTCATGCTTTCATTTAATTTTATTTAATATACTTTTATACCTTTCAAATTCGTTTGTATAATTTTTTTTAAATTTGTACTTTTTTGGTATATATAGCGATTGTTTTTTGATTTATAGCTAAATTAAAATTGATTGCAATTTTTTTAATATCCTAAGGCGGATTAAATACAGCAAAAAAGTCAGCGTTAGTAAAATGCAGCTTTAAATTGATTTTGACTTGGAGCCAAAAGTTATTTCGACGAAAAATGAAAAAAAACTTATTGGTCAATATTTACTGCAGGCTAGAAGCCCACACACAAAATAAACATACTTATAACATACAAATTAAGAGAAAAACTGTCAATAGATTTAATAGTCTTGATTGCTTTTCCCTGCACACTAAACTCACGTTGAGGCACAGGAGGAAGAAGTCCATGGTGAAGATGAAACCGACGATAGGATCAAACTTTACGCGGCGGGAGAGGGCCAAATAAACCAGGTGGAAGCACTCGATGAGCATGTCGCCCAGCATGAAGCAAATCCAGGGTATCAGCAGCTGTCGTTTGTTCTGCAATTCCATGCGGGATTGAGGATGAGGTTGGTTGTGCTGGTAATTGATGTGGACAAAGTACACTCCAATAGACTCACCTGCTGGAGACCCAATATTAACAGAACGGACGACAGCACCATCAGCATCGAGCAAAACAGTAACAAAACGTTGAATATCACAGTCACTGCAAAAAGCATAAATCACACGTAATTGAGTCGCTCGCAGGGAACAATGGGTTGGGTCGGACGGAGTATCCTTCCGACTACTCCAGTATCCGCATCCTTGAGCCTCACCTACAGTCACATCACCCTTCTCCAGCAGACTTTCGCCCATCGGTTGAGCGCGGTTCCCCACCAGAAATTCCTGCTCCCCGCGCAGGTAGAACAAAAACATCAGCGTCGAGAAGCCAAAGTAAACCTGTAGGGGAGAAATTTCGCAAAACATTTAAGGAACATTTAAGTGTTCATGGAAATTCCGGCATATGTTTTGTTATGTGTGGGAAAACCCCCCAACGGAATCCCAACAAAATCCCCTTCATGTGACAATCGAGTGCCGTAATTGCTCAAGCAGCATGAAACTCGACTTTGTTATATGTTTGCCTAGGTGTTTTGTTAATTTAAGTTAGGTCCTTTTGACAAATATCATTTAAGGAAATGTAATTCAACGAGCACAAGAATTTTTGTAATGAGACTGGCAATTAATGTGCGGCATTACTCTTGAAATTCATTAGTAATTGAATAGTCAAGCATGATTAGGTAATTTATAAGCAAATAACAAAGTGGGTGTCGGGAGTTAATAGCTTTTGATTAATTTCTGTTTATAAACTCGATATTTAATCTTCGTTTATTTAATTTTGGAACAATTTGTAAGAGTCTGGGTCTTAAAACGTACATTACTCTTGCAGAGGGTAATATAATTTAAGTTAAAAGTTTGCAACGCAGTGAAAAAAATGTATATATACATTTATACATACTATTTTATATAGCATCACCAGGAGATTCGATCTAGACTAATGTTCTTATGCATGCTGGTTTTAAAGCTATTTGGATAAAGTATATAAGTCGAAACTGGAGGAATCGGTCCACTATATCATATAGCTCCCATTAGAAAAATCAGAGAAATAAAATTAAAACTTCAATGTTTCTTAACATATTCCCATATACTTTAAGATATATTCTTTTTGGATGATTTTAAAATGCAAAATTATAGCTGTTTTAAAACGATCGAAAAATGTATCAGAAATTCGACATATCTGCATTGTTTTTAAGCATATACGCAAAAGAATCGAAATATAAAATATTTAATTTTTGTAACACCTGCAAGGGTATATAAACTTAAGCAAGCCGAAGTTTGCTTCCTTTCTTGTTTCTATCAATAAACTAAAATTCTTGCACTGATGTAATATTTTGGATTATTTGACCAAATGAAAATAGCTTTGCTCGCTAACAAATTAATACCGCTAAAAATAACACATTTTATGTGTAATTTGATTACCATCTAGATGGTGATCAACTTTTTTAACTCTTAATTTAATTTAAGGAACTCTACGTTAAACTACGTCTAAGTTAACATAATGCCATAAATGACTTTGCTTAAGTTATTATAACTTTTCTGAATTAATTGTGAGGAGTTGCTTTTTAATCCGACATTTGTAGGTGCTCAACTGTATAATAAAAAGTAAGTTTTGACTGCTTCTGCTTAAACTGCTCACACAGCCAAAAAACTTTGTAAAACTTTTTGGCACTTGGCTGAAAAATTCAAGGGAAATTCTGATATATTCGCCATGCTTTAGGCCACATCTTATCGCCAGAAATTATTCATATGAGAAGCAACCTACCAATGTGTAGATGGCGCAGGCAAAACTGCCACTCCGCACATCCTTCCAGAAGCAACAAGACTCCAGGATGGCCATCTTTCAGTCGCTCACGCCTCGCAGATGAGCATTCCAAGCACGCTGACACAAAAGGATTTCCTTCGGGGGGAACGGCAGCCGCCACTTTCACTTGACTTTCTACACTTTCGCCCGCGGGAATTCCACTTTATCTCGCTTCCCGCCAAACGGTTAATTTGCTTGCCTTAGTTGTTTTTCTTTGGCCGAGTTTTTATTTGGCACTCCGCAGATAAATATCTAGGATATTTTGTGGATGGTTGCGGGACACTGACACATAATTCCATACACAAGACGCGCAGATTTATGACACTGATTTATGCGGCATGACCGGGCATATTTGTGTGGCCCGAAGTGTGGGATCCCCGGCACGAGAGACTCCGAAAGGAACCGCTGTCATTGAAAGTCGCATCGGGACTGGCTTAGTGGTTCTTCGAAGGCTACCACATTGATTTCAATTTCGAAACATACATTTTATGAATGAAAGTTCGAAAGTTGTAGTGGGGTAAGAGATTCTGGGGCTCACGCATGCGCCTCCTAAGAAAACAACAGCAACAGGCGGTTTCGGGCACCTTGCATCTCGGCTGTGGCTCACCGAATTTTCATGCAATTAGCCACAAACTGTGTTTAGCTTTGCCAATACCACAAATTACAGCTGCAAATTAATTCTCGATGGGATTTGGTCAACGTGGAAAATGCTCTGCGGGATACCTTTTGAAATAAGTTAACCGCAAAAGGAATGATGGCGTCGAAGAGTCGGGTTGAGTCAATGACAATGCCCATTTCGTGCTCCAATTGCTGCCACCGAATCGGAAATGAAAGCAAAAGTAGCCCAGGCACTGGAACGGAAAATCACCAAGTCATCATGGTAATGAATAGGAAGAATTTAACAAGTCAGAGCTGGTTAAATGGGATTAATGTTTGGCCGATGATAGTGATTTGATGTGATTTGTTTGGATGAGATCCAATAAATAATCAAGGTTTATGGGAATTCTCATTAGATATGTGTCAAATAAGCAAGCTAACAATATAAGAAAACATGTATAAGGTAAACTTGGTATTGCATTTAAAAATTTGGATATTTCTCTTAAAATCAAATCTAATTTTAGCTTTGCCTATTTTCTTTTAAAATTTAACGTTGATTTATTTTTTATCCGTTTTCATGTTAGTTTTTAGTCGACTTGTACAAAGATGTTCCACAATTAGCCTTCTAGAGTCCATTACTTTACCAAATTTAAGCGGATTTCAAAGTGACATACCTCTCAAGACTTAAGTTTTGGTTCTCAAAAAATTTTCATTCAAATTTGTCACTTAACTTTAATACATTTTGTAGCCCATTTTTATGACTCACAATTAAAAAAGGGAAAAAAAAATTATACATTCGTTGTTTCTTAAAATATACCCATTTACTCCGAGATATAGTTATTTTTAACGATTGCAAAATTACTGTTTTATATTTATAAAAATTGGACAACCATATAAACAACAAAACAAAGTTTCAAAAAAATTTACCTAGCGTAAATGTTTTTAATCATCAAAATCTTAATAATTTTTGTTAAAAGCTGTATTAAATTGTATTTTATAAAAAAATTTTAACAATGTTTTCTTATTATGTGTATTTAATCAATAAATTCCATTTACATATATTTAAGGTTGTAACTTGACTACAACTATTTCAAGAATTCTATTATGTGGCCAAGATTTATAAGTCATATTTTCAATTTATCTTTGACATTCAATATGGCAAATGAAGACAATCGAAATGGATCAATTAAGAATAGCGACCGTCTTAAAAAACAGGAAAGGGGGCAACAGGCACGTCTCACGAAACCGTAAGTAAACGTGATATAAGCAAGAGTATCCCACAAACTACCCATTTGAAACAGAATATTTTACGATGAGCCGGAGAAGGCTGATGTAGGAGTTCAGGCGGGTGATTCCATGGATGAGGTTAAAGTGAGATATATGGAGCCGAACAAGGATGATAGCTCTTACGACTCTTTTTGGAAAAAGACGATATCGGGTACCTCATTACCGCGACGGAAATGGGAGACTGAAGATTATATAGATTTCGATGACCTCCTGCCGTTGATCGGCGAGTTCGGCCGATTTCAGGTGATGCTGTTCCTGTTCATGATCCCCTTCTGCTTCATCACCGCCTTCGTGTATCTGGGCCAGATCTTTATGTCCCTGACGCCCCACAAGTACTACTGCTATGTGCCGGAACTGATGATTATCAGGAGTGTGGAACTGCGCAAGCAGTTGTCGATCCCGCGTGAAAAAGATGGATCCTACAGTCGCTGTCGAATGTACGACACCAACTACACCAAGATCCACTTTGCGGAGGACCAGAGAAAGTATATCAACACTTCGCTGCCCACGATTCCCTGCAAGCGAGGATATGTCTTCGAGCCGGAGGGAAAGCCCTACGTCTCGGCCACCATGGAATTCGGCTGGTTGTGCGATGACGACAAGTATGCCACGTACGCCCAGATGATTTTCTTCGTGGGTTCCATTCTGGGAGGTCTGGGTTATGGCCACTTTGCGGATCACTGTGGAAGGGTGGCGGCACTGGTCAGCAGCTGCTTCCTCGCCTTCCTGGGCAGCCTGGCCACCTCGTTGTCCTACAACTTTTTCTCCTTTGCAATGTCGCGGTTTCTGGTCGGGGCCTCTTATGATACCTGCTTTACAATGATATATATCTTGGGTAAGAATGGTGTCCAATCGACTGGAAAAAAATAGGTAGCTTTAATTAGTTGACTTAAAAAATAATAAAGTTTATATTTAAGCTTTAACAAACTAATAAATTCATCCCATAAAGTATTCTCATATATTTACTACAAAAAGTAGGCATCTTAATACATCCAACAATATGACATAAAAAATAATAAAAATCACCCAAAACTGGGTAATAATGACCTCATAGAATAGATTATTAAAATGGTACAGAACCTTCTTAAATTAATAAAAAAGGTCATACATTAGGTCGCTTCTCCAACAATATGACATAAAAAATAATAAAAATCACCCAAAACTAGGTAATAATGACCTCATAGAATAGATTATTAAAATGGTACAGAACCTTCTTAAATGAATAAAAAAGGTCATACATTAGGTCGCTTCTCACAACTACTTAACATGGTTTTATTTCTTTAAACTTTTTAAAAGGATTAAGTTACATTTATGTGCTTACCCTCTCTTTCTATTTGTAGTTCTGGAATATGTGGGTCCCAAGTACCGCACCCTGGTGGCCAACCTGTCACTGGCCCTGTTCTACTCCCCCTCCACGATGCTGATGCCCTGGATCGCCCTGTCGGCCGGAGATTGGAGGAGGTTCTCCGCATTCACAGCCTTACCCATTTTGCTGGCCATGTTGTCCTTCTGTGTGCTGCCCGAATCTGCTCGGTTTGTAGTTCTTAACCATACCTTAAACCTTAAAATCCATGATACCATTTTCCGATCACAGCTGGCTGGTGTCGGTGGGTGACATCGAACGGGCCATGGTGATTTTGAAACGGGTGATACGTATCAACAAGAAGTATGTGGCCCCGGAAGTACTCGAACTCTTCGAGTCGAGCTGCACGCAATTCTACAAGGAGGAGCTCTACGGACGGGACTTTACTGTGTTCTCGATCTTCAAGCGCCGGCGGATGGCCCGTTATATGATCATGCTGATCCTCATCTGGATGATGATGTCCCTGGTCTACGACGGTCATGTTCGGGCGGCCAGTGTCCTGGACACGGAGAACATCTTTGTGTTCTTCACCATCGCTTGCGCCACAGAGCTGCCGGGTAATATCCTGGTGATCCTTACTCTGGATCGGTGTGGTCGTCGCTGGTGCTCCTTTCTCTACACCTCATTGAGTGGGGTATTCACCTTGATGGGCGCCTGGCTAACTAATCCGATGCTTATGAGGACGTCTGCCCTAGCTGGAAGATTCTTTGCAAACACCTGCTATAATATTGGACTGCAGTGGGCTGCGGAGATACTGCCCACAGTGGTGAGGGCCCAAGGAGTGGCCTTCATCCACACGATGGGTTTCGTGGCGATGATGTTGTCCCCACCAGTGGTGTACCTCTCCGAAGTGTCCTTCTCCCTCATGTTAATCGTTTTGGGAGCCATGGCAATCTTGGGCGGACTGCTGGCCCTGCTTCTGCCGGAAACCTTGAACCACGAACTCCCGCAAACCCTTAGCGATGGAGCTGAATTTGGAAGGAATCAAAGGATTTGGCATATGCCCTGCTGTGGCCCGGGATCTAGGAGATCCCACGGCAGACACGCCTGGCGGCGGGGCTCCAGCTTAAGGACATTATCGCGAGAAGAGTTCCGCTCCAGCAGGATGTTTCGAAAAACAGCATATGTCCACCGGGAGACGAGCCCGACATCCAGTGAAAATAAGAATTCCGAGGAGAGGGAAATCCGAACATATAAATATAATGGCTAGATTAAGTCTTCCCTGAAGAGAAGTGGAGATCTTCTGAATACAAATTTTCACTTTTAATAAAAAAATAATTTATCTAATATTCTTTGAGATCGTATTAACTTACATTAAACACGATTAACAAATAGTTATTGATAGGTTTTCTTACTGCAACCAAAATGGACCTTTAAATCTGACCTCCGGTCTAAGTAGAGTCTTATTACAATAAAAAATCTACAAAAAATAATAACCATATTATACTGTAATTTTTATATACAAAAATTATGTTTTTACGGCTGCTGAAGCCTCCGAATCTGTTTTTCTACACTAATATTTTTCAGAAACGGTTCCCGGAACAGACCTTTATTAATTAACAACTTTCATGTCGAATGCTTTAGTCATGGGGGAAATTATGGAAACATTGAGTAGTGGGCTAGACAGTCACTTATTCGCTGTTGCCAGTCTTACCGGGAATATATTTTGCAATGCTGGGTAGGATTGCACTAATCGTTAGCATCTTCTATGTGGTCCTCAATATTATTCTCCTGCGCTGGGCTACTCGAAAGCTACCGTTCACATTTTTTTACGATGAGGAGTACTTTAATACAACATTGTCAAAGCTACTAAGGCCGCGATATGTGGGCAGTCCAGGACATTCCGAGGTTCATGACTTTATCGAGCATGAGCTGAATCATTTGGGCTTTAGCGTCATAAGGGAAGACTTCCAAGAAGGGGGAAATTTTACAAATTTGTCAGGTTTTATGAATAGGGATGCAGATAATCTTATGATGCTAACCTGCCACTACGATAGCAAAATGCCCAAGGATTGGAATAAGAAGGATTTCCTTTCAGCCACCGAAGCGGTTTCCTGTGCCATCCTCCTAAGTTTAGCAAAAACCATGGGAATGTTCTTTATAAAAACGTTTTCCGAAAACATAGACATGGGCTTGGCTGTAAGTTGTTTTCGAGCATGTTAAAACTCAAAGGTTGAACAAGTTTTTAAAGCTGATCTTCTTTGACGGCCATTATTCATTGTCTGCGGATCCCCTGGATGAAATTCGATTCATTGGCGCAAAAGAATTCATGGAATCGGAAATTATACCTTTAGAAAATATGGTAAGTAGATGGGGAAATAAATATATAAAACTTTCTTTTTGAAAGGAACGTTATACAAAGTTCAATCAATTATAATGTTTTTATAGGTTGTTGCAGTTACTCTTAGCTATATTGGAGCGCCTAATCAAACTTTTGCGAGTTACTTTGAAGTTACCAATGACCTGCATAATCTGGCTGCTGACATAGAACTGGAACTAAGAAAATCCGGACAACTGACGAATTCTCATGTGTTGTTCAAGAAGAAAAAACAATACGACAAAGATCTTCTAGACGATCATAGTCTATTAAATGAACTTGGTAACAATGTTTAATTTATAAAAAATATTTACGTTACCTATTACCTATTTAATTGTTTTCCTAGGTGTACCAGTCATGCATGTAGCTCCACAAGAATATCCGAAGGTTCTGCACACTGCCGCTGATAACACCGAAAATTTACATTGGCCTACTATTCGCAATATGATACAAATATTGGTCCGATTTGTGCATGATTTCCTGGAAACATGGGCCACCAATGTGAATTTAAAGAATGTTTTTGTTTCAGATTCTCTTGAAGATTAAAAGGCATAAGCACATTTTAAATTACTTATCTTATGGTGTTTATTTTTATTACATTCTAGATTAATTATGGGTTTCAAAAAAATGAGTCGTACAGAAAATATTTTTAGAATGTGATGAAAATTACGACTTATTTTTACAAATAGCTACTTTTTTTGTTGGACTTTCTAGGGTTAATCAAAGCTAGGTTATTAATAAAACTTCCTATGAACGAGAGCAATGTAATTATTGTTATCAGCGGTAATTAATCGACAAAGCAGTCATTGTAGAGAACTTTTCCCCAACGACCGTAGGCTTAAAAGCTTTGCGAGGCCTCTCGCAAAATGATAGAGTTTTAAAAAAACTCTCTCGAGCCGAGCCCGAAAGCTTTCGAAATGATTTTGCCCGCCAAAGAGGCAACCATCGCATCGCAATCACAACAAAAACTACGGTAAAGATCGATCTTTCAGGCGTCGATCGCCGCAGTTAGTGCGTCGCCAAGCTCCGAAGCATAAAGATGGGGATCGGTTCCGTACTTTTTTCCGCCGCCGGCCTGCTGCTCCTCCTCCTCCCGCCCTCCAAGCCACAAGCTCCAGCAGGGAACGTTAGTGCTCCCCCTCTGAAAACAATTAAAACCATTGTGACTCACTTGGGAAATCACAGTTGGTTAGGTTTCCAAAAACCCATCTATAACTTCACCTATATTTCAGATTGGATCACAGTGGCGAGACGACGAGGTCCATTTTAACCGCACCCTGGACTCCATTTTGGTGCCACGCGTCGTTGGCAGTCGGGGACATCAACAAGTGAGCGATAAAATTGGAATACCATTTGATTTTTTAAAATTAACATTACGAACAGGTGCGCGAGTACCTGGTGCAATCGCTGAACGGCCTTGGCTTTCAGACGGAAGTGGATGAGTTCAAGCAGCGAGTTCCAGTTTTCGGAGAGTTAACGTTCGCCAATGTTGTGGGTACGATTAATCCCCAAGCCCAGAACTTCCTGGCCCTGTCCTGCCACTACGACAGCAAGTACTTCCCCAACGATCCCGGATTTGTGGGGGCCACAGACTCCGCGGTGCCCTGTGCCATTCTCCTGAACACCGCCAAGACCTTGAGCGGGTATCTCCAGAAAGAGTTTCTCAATCGCAACGACGTGGGACTCATGGTGAGTTGTTTACATTATCGGTCACAATAGCAGACCTTGATAGTTTCTCATGAAACTCTACGTAAAAAACTATGCGAGAACCAGTTATTTATTGGGAACTCCTCTAAAGAATATTTAAAAATTGTATATTTTTTCTCTAGAATTAATTATAGTCAATAGTTAACTATAATTTATAGAATTTCGATTTAAAAAAGATTTTAAATGGTTCTACAATTTTTGATTTATTGTAGAGAAAAATTGGTAAGAATTGAATTAATTGAATAATAATTTTTTTGTAAAGCACCGAAAAATGAGCCTTAAAAATTGGTTTTGTACATTTATGGTTTTTCTTTGATTTGTTTCCCTTTGAATAATATAAAATATTTCAGACCCACTAATTAAGGTATTAGTTTAAGAGGACTGTGCCAATCATTGATTTAAAACTATAGAATTTTAATTGATTCATTTATAAATTATATTTTAACAAAATAGTAATTTTTAATAGAATAACCGTATGTCATTAACCCAAAAAAAATTTCTTAACTCACCAGCTCATATTCTTCGATGGCGAGGAGGCGTTTAAAGATTGGACTGCCTCTGATTCCGTGTACGGCTCGAAGCATCTGGCGTCAAAGCTAGCCCGAACCCGTTCCCAAACTGCCGGCCAAGTTCAGCAGGGTCCACGGAATATAGATCGAATTGTGAGTCAATGACCTTAATAGAAATTATCAGTTTGCTAAAATTGAATCAATAACAGGAAGTGCTGGTGCTGCTGGATCTTATTGGGGCGCGGAATCCGAAGTTTTCTAGTTTCTATGAAAATACCCATGGACTGCACTCCAGTCTTGTACAGATTGAAAAGTCCCTGCGGTCTGCTGGCAAGCTGGAGGGAAAAAACAATATGTTTTTAAGTCGTGCTAGCGGCGGTCTGGTCGACGACGATCACCGTCCGTTTTTGGATGAGAGTAGGTTTTGTTTGGATTTGCGTTTATACATGATTACCAAGTGGTTTTACTTCTAGATGTTCCTGTGCTGCACTTGGTGGCCACTCCTTTCCCCGAGGTCTGGCACACACCTCGCGATAATGCCGCTAATCTGCACTGGCCTTCGATACGCAATTTTAACCGTGTTTTCCGTAATTTTGTGTACGAATACCTCAAACGGCATACTACACCGGTGGATTTACGTTTTTACTGAACCTAGTTTTTTGTTTGTCTTATGTGTAAGATTTATTAAGCATAAGTGTAAAATGTTTGTCGTTAATTAAAGTGTCCTAAGGCGTGTTTAATCCTTCCTAGCGACGTTTGCGACCTGCCTGGGCCTTCTTGCCCGGAGCCCGCTGCCCGCGATTGCCCTTCGACTTCTTGCCCACCGCTTTGCGACTGCCCTTGCCCTTAGGCTTCTTGTTGCCCTTCTTGGTCGGTTCATTTTCAGCCTCTGCTTCTCGTCTGTTGAATAAATAAAGGTTTTATGCACACTCAATTGAATAATAATTGTATCAAACTTACGCCAAACGATTGTCGCGCTTTTCCATTGATATCGCCTTGTCCACGTCCAGCCGGGGCTTCTTATTCAGCACGCTCTTGATAAGATCCAGATTAGCCTCCTTTTCGGGCGTTTGTGAGATATGCGACTGCTTGCGTTTGCCGCCTGGTATCAGTTCCTTGATGCCCAGACCACGTGCCTCCTTCTCCTTGGGCAATTTGTTTTGGAATTTACCCACAGAGGCTGTGGATGATTTGGCCACAGTGACGGCGGTCAAGAGCTGACTGGAGGAGGCAGCCTCAGGTCCCAGGTAACCGCTGCGCGGCATGTCGATCTTCTTGGCCCGCACAATGTTCTTCATGCGCTGGATTTCGTTCTTGGCCACCTTCTCGTTGCGCAGGTCGATCTTCTTCTGGAACATGTCCGTATTGGGATCGGCGTTCTGTGGCACCTCCAGGACCCAGTCCTTAGCCTTCTCGGCCTCGGCACGCTTGAAGCCATATGTGGGCACCCATTTCTATAAGGATTCGTAGATTTAGTTGGGGTTTCTTTAGGATTAAAGAATTAAAACTTGCATCCATGGTCTCATCGTAGGTCTTCTTGTCCTTCTTCTTCTTGCTGATGCCCTTCTCCTTGGCGAACTTCTCCCATTTGGTGAGGGGACGAGGGCCTGGAGGTTTTCGGAGGCGGGGCAATACGGTCGTGGGTTCCGGCAGCTTGGCCACAATGCTCTCGTCCACCCGCTCGGTGGACAGTTCCCAAATGGCGTTCACCAGGAGTTGAGTGTTTTCCCGGGTCAGTGCGGCCAGGTACTCCTCCTTGTTGTCCCTGGAAGAAGCCCAAAGTCAGTTAGTGATCAGTAGTCCTCGCCGGATCTTTCACTCACCTCAGTTCCCGGTCATCGAAATCGTTGGGATCTGTGATCAGTAGACTTCCTACGTCCAGGCGACATTCCAAATGCTTTTCTACTGTGATCGGCTTGTATTTCTCCAATTCCTTTTGGTGTTTCGCTAAAACTTCCTTGACAACATCCATTTTGAGGGGAATAAACAGCAAAGCAAATTCAATTCCTCGTACACGTGCTGACTGGTGTGACCCTAATTTAGTTAAGAAAATACCTTTAATTACATTAAAGAATAAAATACCAAACTTTTACCTCAGACTCAAACCATGAATGGGATCTGTGATACACATTTATCGGAAAATCGATTTTAAGGTGATAACATTGACACACTGGGCGCCATTTTCAAATTTTTTACTTATATAAAAACTGAACGCCTTCGTCTGTGATTCTTTTAGCACAGACTTCTGTGTATTTTCTAACCATGTTAATAGAAATGCAGTAGTTTTAAAATTTTTAATTTGTGACGCTCTATTTTAGAAAAAAAATTATAAAAATTCAAATAGAAAAACACAAATATTTAAAATTTATTGATCAATTATTTTGTCGTTCTCTGCAACGTAGCGTCCATCGCTTGTCCGATTCGTCCATCGTATGAGGCAGCACAGTGCCCTTGGTCTCCGGCAGAATAAAGACTATCACACCTCCGATCACCGAGAGCAATGTGATTATGAACATGGGTAGAGCACGGTAATAGCGGTGGGTGTAGATGACAATCGGCGATATGAGGGCACCTGTGTGACCCATAACGTTGATGGCAGCCAATCCCTGACCGCGCACCACAGTGGGCAGGATTTCAGAGGCCCACTGTTGGCCCACATTGTAGGCGATTGTGACGAAAAACCTGGCTATAATTGCCGCTATTGCCACATCCCATTGTCTTTGCAATAAGCCAGCCAAAAGGCTAAATACCGCACAGAACAGCATCACGGCTGCCATTACGGGTTTGCGACCAACACGATCTAGCAGGAGGATTGGCACAATTCCAGCCGGGATCTCAACGAGCGAGGAAAGTGAAAAGGTAATGAATACATCGGTATCCAACAAGGAGACGACGCGAACATGGGCATCGTACACCAGAGCCACAATCATCCAACACATAATCAATATCGAAGTAACGACAAATCTGCGAAAGGTCTTGAAGAGATCCAGAATAGTGTAATGTTTACCCGAGTTCTCTTTGGCGAAACTCTGTTCATGGCACTGCTGCATCTCTGACCATTCTTTGTCGGAAATGGTTTTTCCATTGCTCTGTGCTGCCTCTTTCAGCACCTCCATTCCTCTTTCCACCTTTCCCACCGAAAAGAGCCAACTGAAATTAGGATTTAATTGTTATCAAAAAATATAAAAAAATTAAGTGTCTATATATTCTCTCTATATTTTCGAAAAAATTTAAGAGGAGCAAACAGCTATTATTTTTGATTTGCAAAAATTAGAAATTGCTTAAACTAGAATTCTTTGAGGACTTTTCTTAGGAATTAGTGGAGTGTTAACTTGTCAAAAAGTTAAAAAATAAATTATATTATTCCATTAAATATTATATTATATCTTAAAATATTAAGACAAATTTTTCGATCGGCTTGTCAATAACTTTTTCAGCTTCGGTTGCAAAAAGTTTTAAAAAATCGTTTCAAGAGTATTATCAATTTAAGGTGTTCAAAAAATCGCTATCTCCTCTACTATTATTATAATATAAAAACTTACCTTGGTGACTCGGGAAGCAGTAAGCTCATCAATATCATTAGTATCACGGGCAGTGCAACGACCATGGCATAATGTCTCCAATTTCGGATGAAATAGGCAACCCAAGGAAGCGCGCATGCGCCCAAGGTAAAGGAAATGGCCAGAGCCGAATTGCCCACCAGAGTGCGGTATTGGATGCCAACGTTCTCCAGAGCTGTATAAGCAGATGTGAGCGAAAATAGCACTCGAATTAGAGGCACTCACTTAGGATATAAATGGGAAGGAAGCAGTTATTCATGGCCATTCCGACCACATATCTGCTGGCAGCAAAGCAGTAAAAGTCCTTGCAGAGGGCAGAGATGCAGCCGCCGATCATGGAGCAGGAATTGGCCAGGAACAGGGCCACCAAGCGGCCGCAGTGATCGGCGGCGTATCCGAAGCAGAGGCAACCCACAATGGAGCCTATGAAGAAGGCCATGACGGAGTAGGTGCCCAACCCGTCTTTATCGCACACCCAATTGTACTGGGTGGCGATGGACTCGTAGGGCATCTCGTCAGGATCATACACCCAACCATCGTTGCAGGGTATTTTGGTCCTGGTCTGATTGGTCTCTTCACTCGTATCCGATTCAAAGGGCACATTGTACCTATGACATCTCTCAAATTCGCCATCCTTCCCGATGGGGATTCCCCGCTTGATCTGCTCCTCCTTGGGCAGCCCCTCCAGTTCTCGAATCCGGCACCAGTGACCGGTGGGCACGTGTATCATGAATATCTGGCCAAAGTAGGTGAATGCAAACAGAAAGGCGGCGGGCATCATCCAAAACATCAGTCGCCTCTGGTAGGGTCCAAAGTCTCCAATGAGCGGCAGGAAGTTCTCATACTTTTTGCAATCCTCTGAAGGCATTTTCAAAACGAATTATTTCCCACACAAAATCCAAATTCTTTAAAAGCCAACTGTTCTGGCACTAAAAATAAATAAAGGGTTTCTCTTTTAGTTTATAAATTTTGCTGAACTTAACTTTTGAGAAACTCTTTTAAATCGTTCTTATTTTGTATTAATCTTCTTTAGTACTTTTGCACAAAGTTTTTACAATTAAACCTAGGATTTGCATATCTAAGAAAAATCATGCAGCCCAAATATAAACATTTAGGCCGATTATATTCATTCCTTCACATTCAAAATTTTAAACTGAAAGCCAATTATTTTACCGCCAATCGCTATCGATAGCTCATACGAGTGTCATTTTCGCCGCCTTGTCTGGCTGGTCACACTAAACCATCAAAATATCGATCAACCGATAGACCATGCTAGGTCCCACCACTAATTTGCGCGCCAATCACTTTAATAACAATGGATGCAGATTTGCTGCCGCTGAGAAAACGCATAACAAACACTTTTAAGCTATGCGGATTCATGATCCGCTCGGAGAACAGCTCCTACCTGGCGGAGCAGCTGCTGCCCTTCGACGCAGCGGAACGGGACAAATGGCTGACGGTGATCACGGAGAATCTGCAGAGTCAGAAGCTACTGACGCCGCATGTGGAGCGGGCGGCGCTGGAGAAGGCCATCAACGAGCTGAACCGGGTGGGCTTGGATGAGGGGGAGACTGTATTCGCCCTGATCGATGCATTTACGGTGCCCCGTTTTCGGTACAACCAGCGGATCAAGAAGTTCGAACCGGACACCCAGCCTCGCCAACTTCTGACCGCTCCCCGCATGAAATCCGAGTACATGCAGCAGCGATATGCCATGTTACTCCAGAAAACCCTGCGCCACGATCTCTTTGCCCCGGTTGTCATCCAGGATGGCGTCGGTGCCGAGGCCCAGGCCAAGAAGTTCAAGCTCCAGTTCGCCGAGAACCTGCTGGCCACCTCGGCGATGAAGGAGGCCGTCGTCCTGGGCCTGCTCACCCAGCTCAAGGAGGGCAAGTTCTATGTGGAGGATCCCACCGGCTGTGTCCAGCTGGACCTCACAGGTGCCCGCTTTCATGCCGGGTTCTTCTGCGAGGGCTGCTTTGTGCTGGCCGAGGGAAACTATAACAATGGGGTGCTCAAGGGTATGTAAAAAATAAATTTAATTTATCAAAAATCGAGCAAGGGACTCGCGACTGTAATCTCGATTTATATATAATATATATTTTTCCTGCTAATTTATTTAATTTCCCTCAGTTGATGGCTTGGGTTTCCCGCCAGCAGAGCCGGCAACAAGTAGTCGTGCGTTTTTCGGCACTGCCAACACCTGGGGCGGTGAGTCGGCCAAACTGCTAAAGTACTCACCTCGTCTGCAGGAACTGGAACGCACCAACACAGAAACGACGATAGTTTTCTTATCCGATGTCCGCTTGGATCTGCCCGTGGTCATGGACAAGCTGCGCCAACTATTTGTGGGCTACGATTCCTGCCCGCCGCAAGCTATAGTGCTCATGGGTCCTTTTACGGCCAGCGCAAGGAATCACCATGAGCTTCGGCATCACCTAGATGCATTGGGTGCCTTGGCAGCTGGCTGTGAGCAGCTGAAGAAGCAAACGGATCTGATACTCGTGCCCTCGTCGGAAGATCCCACAGCACCAAATATTTTACCGCGAGCTCCCATACCCGAGTGCTTGGCAGCGGGATTGCTGAAGACCTGGCCACGCACCCAGTTGGCCACAAACCCTTGCCGATTGCAGTACTGCACCCAGCAGATTGTTGTCTGCCGTCTGGACTTGATGGCCAAGTTCTGCCGGAATACCTTACATTTTCCCGAGGATACGTCGCAGATCGAGCAGCATTTTGCCAGATCCATTGTGTGCCAGGGTCACTTGGTGCCCATTCATCCGATTGCCATGCCAGTGCACTGGGACTACGATCCTGCTTTGTGGCTGTACCCGCTGCCCGATCTAATAGTCATGGGGGACTCGTGCCAGAGCTTTAGCAGCAGTCAGCACGGATGCACTGTCCTCAATACCGGCTCCTTTGTCAAGTCCAAGTTTGCCTTCAAAGTGTACATACCCGCCACGCGAACAATTGAGGACTCGGAGATACCGGACGATGTGGAGTAGTTATGATATAGTTAACCTTAACGTAAGTTTAATAATTATGTTAATTTAAATTAGTTTTTGTTTTTTTTTATTAAAATTTATGGGTTTTGTGGGGAAGAGTTATTGAGCTGTAGGTAATGTTGAGCACGTGAAGGTGGAACTTTGATATCTGTGGCTTTGCACTATCGTTCAGATAAATGTGGTTAATTTAAGGACAACATTTTAATATAAATTCATAATTGTTATTATAAATTAGCTATCTTTAAATTTTGATTGAGAAAACCTTTAGAGGATTAGAAAAACTCTTCGCGAACTCAATCCTTTATGCAAATAGAGCCTACCGAATATTTTTATACGTTTCAGCCTAGCTGTTTAATGTTTTGGGTACAAACATGTTTCGGGGGCTTAGCATCCTCCTGCCTCACATGTTGCTTGGCCAGCCAGCTCCTCCCGGATTTTCGCCACCCGTGCGTGTGCCTGTTCCCTTGTGATAAGCGGCCCAGCCTCATCATCGCCGTCGTCAGTCATCATATGCGCACAGCATGTGTTCCACAATCGTCTCCTGGCTCTTGGGCTGACGCGCCTCGCAATCTGCTTTTTACTGCGAGCGGGGGTTGTCTATTACTTTTCATGACTTAAAGCCGATTTGGAAAAATATTGTTACTCTGCCGCTGCTGCCCACTTTGGGACGTGGAAATTCAATTTCCCAGGCTGGCGCGCAGCTCCTCGGCAGCTGAAACGGCAATTTTGATAATGCGTTTGACCTGAGGACATCGATGGTCCTGGCCCCCATTTGCTGTCACTTGACCAGTTGCCGAATCGTTTTTTAAGGCATCATTAGCCGGGTCTGTCGCAGAAGGGGAGAGTCGTTTTATTCTGCCTCGGAGGGTTTTCTCTCCTATTGATTTATGATTTATGAGTGTAACTTGGATAGTTGTGTGCCGCACGTCCCTGGGATCAATTTCCAAAATGTGTCCGCCATGAGTGTCAATTCGATTTGGGGGGCGTGGTCGGTCCTGAGTGCTAACTATATTTTTTTTGGCCATCCCCTTCGAACCCTAAACATTTATATTTCCCTGTTTTTTTCTATTTTGTGCTGGCACTCCAACTCCTCTATGCAAACCACAGATTCAGAATGTTTCCTCTGCGACAACAATCTTGCTTCTGCTTCATTTAACTGGTACACTGGCAACTTTTGAAATTTAAATATTGTTTTGTGGTTTCTCTGCAACTTGGCCGCAGCGCGGAGCAATAACATAAAAAACATTTTATCTGTTATGGTCATCAGTTTTTATGGTGTCCTTCCAGGAAAGTTGACACCATTTAATTTGGAGCTGTAGAGTTTCCCTTCCTTCACACTGCGGACTCGATTAAAGCAATCGCTGATGCGGAATCTTGGAATCTGTGCCTTGGCCATCAATCACTCGACCAGATGCGCCCCAAGTGGCCCCAGTCCAATCAAGGATCAAAGCAACTGCCCACCTTCGGTTATCCTTCCGCACACACATGCTCGGCAATCAAACGGCAATGCACTCATGTGCATATCCTGTGGTTATTTGACAATTGTTAACCCATCTTTTCGCATTGTTTGACGGATTCTTCGGTGTTGCCAAGTGGCCATATGCCAAGCGTCCCTTGCAAATCCATCCAGTAATCCTCGGCTTGGTGGTGTGACTTTGATTTCAATGAATATACTTGACTGGGGTGGCTTTAATCGTTTGCTGTTGATACCCTTTCAAGGGGTATTAAAATATGATTATTTGTGGTTTTCTCAGTAAGATTTTTGGCTTTATAATTATTTAAAATTCATAAAGCTAGTTTGGTTAATAACTTAAGCCTGAACCAATGTGTATTTTTAACTTTATTTAAATTCAAATAAATGCTAAAGAAACTGAACTATATATACATTATTGTATTAAAATGTATAAGTGAGTATTTATTTCAGTTCCGAAGTTCTCTGAGTAAACTCAAATATAAAATAGATTTATGAATTTGTATTGCCCTTCTTGAAACCACTTCTAAGGTATACATATACGAATATTTTTAGCGCATATGGTCAAAGGTTTCGGCTGGCGCTTTGAAACCGCAACGTCAACTGGAAAATCAAAAGCTCGCCTTTGTTTATGGACGCATTCTTTTGTTCGCAGCCATTGATACTTGGAGGGTTTATTAACTTTTTACGGACTCGACAATGAGCTGCATCCTTATAGCCGCTGTTGGCATTCAAAATTTGATAGGGCTATCATCAACATTGTATGCACTGGCGGGCCACTAAAACACTGGGAGAATGGCACTTGAGGAAGCAGTAAACGGAGCTGGAATTGCGAATGAGTCCGCTTCATAAGCCCTATGAATGTTACAACAATGTATAAAGTTAAGCCCCAGACGTGCGGCGGTCCAAACTCCGGACGTGTGCCAACATTTACGCCTCAATTATCAGCCGCAGAGCAAACTCTGGGGGTCACCACTTGCCATCATATAGAGGCGATAATTTGCTGGCCATAAGCTGCTCCCACACATGCCATAAACCTTGGACCACCCAGCGTGTCCGGCCATTCCATTCAATCCATACCAATCTCAAGCCATCCAATACAATTCAAGCAGCAAGTGACACGTGCCGCCCATTAATTTACGCGTTGGCTTTATCTGCGATTTGCTTGCGCATTCTCAGCCAGTCCTGGATAACTCTCCTGACTTCGGAGGTCCTGCCACGTGCCAGAGTTGGCAAATCAAATGTTTTTATTATTTAAAGCGACAAACGCCGACGCCGTTTTATTGTCTTCCTTAAGCCGATAACAACTGTCTGTGGGAGAGTCGGTGGCAGGACAAATTACAAGGCAGCCGCATCCTGACCGCCATTGTCCTCCGAGTGGATAACGAATTGCACCTTGGGGAC